GTTCGTAAGGTTCGTTCGTAAGTTTCGTAAACTGTACTAGACAACTTTTTTTTTAATGAAAATTCATTGACATCATTGACATATATGTTACATTTTGCGACAACCTTAATTAGTGCGTTGGGCTTGTATGAAAACTCACTTCGAACTAACTCAATTACATGCTATTTATTTTAACATTACACGGTAAGCGTCACCCAACTGTTGTGATGTGAGGTGAAGACAGGTTCGACAATAAACCAACACGAAAGTACGAAAGAGACATAGACTGCCTATTAGAGCATTCTCTTAACTTTCCTAACCCCACCATTTATTATACCCTACCTAACCTCTAAATTTCCTGCGCTGAATTACACTTCCCTCACAATCGTTCCTATTCTACAGAATTGTGTATACTATTTATTTACATTCTTTAATCTCAATATAACTAAAATAGACTTTGGTTGAAGGGTAATGAAAACATGTAAACAAAAGGGACGCTACTCTAAATCTATGCGAATACTTATATGTAGTGGCGTAGGCAGGGGGGTTAGGGGGGTCATAACCCCCCCCCCCACCCCATAGACCCCTCGGTATATATATATATATATATATATATATATATATATATATATATATATATATATATATATAAAGTATGAGGGGGGTGCAAATCGAAAGTTTGGGGGGGGGGGGGGAGGGTACAATCGAAAGTTTGAGGGGGGGTGGAAGTCTGGAAGAAACACTGCATGTAGCCTATATAACAGAAGAGCTATGGTTGTTTATATCATTTTGCATTCGTCCGGTAAACATTTCAGTAAAATATCTTAAAAAACCTTCCATAACCTTTTTATAAAGAAACAAAGAGAGATGAAATTTTATAATAACATCAGGCTTTGACTTACACCTACTCCAATTGCATCTACATTGTTAAACTGATTAACTATGTAATGTCGGGCTCAACAGGATCAATGAACTACCCACATACCCACCTAACAACCTCCGTGATGGGAATGCAGATGGTAGTGGTACGCTTTAAATGGTAGTAGATCACGTGATCAAACACGACACTCCCACAGCAGCCCTAACAGTCATGTATAAATGTGTCATCTAGTCCATATGGTCTTTGTGCTAAATTTCTCTTTTGCACATTTTTCGTTGTGTTTTTTCTGGTTGCGCATTTTTCTGTTTCTGTTTGCGCTTTTTTCCGTTTGCGCTTTTTTCCGTGTGCGCTTTTTTTCTGTTTGCGCTTTTTTCCGTTTGCGCTTTTTTCTGTTTGCGCTTTTTTCTGTGTGCGCTTTTTTCCGTTTGCGCTTTTTTCCGTTTGCGCTTTTTTCTGTTTGCGCTTTTTTTCCGTTTGCGCTTTTTTCCGTTTGCGCTTTTTTCCGTGTGCGCTTTTTTCTGTTTGCGCTTTTTTCCGTTGCGCTTTTTTCTCTTTGCGCTTTTTTCCGCTTGCGCTTTTTTCTGTTTGCACTTTTTTCTGTGTGCGCTTTTTTTCTCTTGCGCTTTTTTCCGTTTGCGCTTTTTTCTCTTTGCGCTTTTTTCCGTTTGCGCTTTTTTCTGTTTGCGCTTTTTTCCGTGTGCGCTTTTTTCTCTTTGCGCTTTTTTCCGTTTGCGCTTTTTTCTCTTTGCGCTTTTTTCTGTGTGCGCTTTTTTCTCTTTGCGCTTTTTTCCGTGTGTCCTTTTTTCCGTTGCGCTTTTTGTTTTGCGCTTTTTTCCGTTGCGCTTTTTTCCGTTGCGGTTCTTTCTGGGAACCATATATATATATATACAGATACATATATATATATATATATATACATATATATATATAGATATATATATATATATATATATACACACACATATATATATATATATATATATATATATATGTATATGTATATATGTATATATATATATATATATATATATATATATATATATATATATATATGTATATATATATTTATGTATATATATATATATATGTATATATATATATATGTATATGTATATATATATGTATATATATATATATATGTATATATATATATATATATATATATATATATATATATATATATATATATATATATATATATATATATATATATATATATATATATATATATATATATTGATTTTATAAACATAGCAGCAATAATTCGAAATTTTATGCATTAAAATAATAAAAAGGCAAGTAAATTAGTTTGTGTTCTGAATTAGATCTAGATCTTAGATCAATTTTTTTTTTAAAAATGTTAAGTCCTAAGCCATAAAACGATATAAATTATGCTATCAGTGGTAATATGTACAGGCTACTTTATTTTAAACACTCATACAAACACACACACACACACACACACATATATATATATATATATATATATATATATATATATATATATATATATATATATCAATATAGAGTATTTTAATCAATTACTATGACAATTAATCAACAGAGTTCTCTAAAACGCGAAATAACGGTTAAAATTCGTTTTCTAGCATTTTTTTTGTAATACAAAAGTTTGACGTCACACCATCTGTAATGCAATGCTTATTAATACACCCATTGATAGACAAATTTCGTTTTATTTAAGCGCGCACAACATAATAATATTCGTGGAGTTTCGATTTCGATACATAAAACCTAACCACTAAGGAAACCATCGTTTGAGGAAGTCCCCTCATATTTTATAACTCGTTGTTCAACAACTTGATCTACAATAAAGTGCACGGCCAGGTGCTTTAAACATATATTTAAAACCCACGGACAATAGTTCTATTTTTAGATGCGGTTTTTACCGCTTGAGAGACCAGTGTCGGGAAAATCCTGAAACTTTAACCTAGTTTTCAAACGTGTGTTTGTAAGACGATGAGTATCCTATGTCCGAATTTTGTGTTTGTATATATATATATATATATATATATATATATATATATATATATATATATATATATATATATATATATATATATATATATATATATATATATATGGCGGGGGGGGGGGGCTAAACATTTTTTTTTTTGCGGGGTGGCCCTTTTTTTTCTAGCTCCGTCACTGCGGACCCCCGCTCCCTCTTACGAGTGTGACGTCATTTATATATATATATATATATATATATATATATATATATATATATATATATATATATATATATATTAGTGGCGCCTTTTACTGCAATCAACGCTCCCCTGTCGTCAAAATCTGGAAACAACAAATAAATAAGTATTGATCCTATTTTCCTATGTGAATTCATCATTTCATTACATTTCTTCCTGCTAATTCCAGCACTGAATTTAAGATTTCATTAAAACTGAAAAAGGCATGCTTTGATAAGCAACGAACTTATGAGTAAAACAGCAAGCGATTTTATTCTCCACCGACAAGAAGATTTATTCTAACAGGCCCTATCCTATGTGTAGCCTGCTACTCAAGCTATTAGTAGTTTTGGTAAGAACACGTGGACGTAGATCTATTTTTAAAAGCCCAAATTTGTTGAATTGGTTTTTTTTTTTAAGGCAACAATATAGTTAGCTGTGCATGCCAATAGTTAATAGTTATTAGATCTCGCACAATCGACTATTTGAATCAAATTTTGACATTGGAAGTTCGAGTTTTGCCCTACTTGTTAATAGTCTACTTCCCCCCCCCCCCCCCACACACACACACTCCTTCCGAAGAGTGTTAACTTTTTATTAAACTTTTTATTTTAATAACGGTACCAACAGTAGGTACAGAGGTCTGTTTTCACATTGCCCGTTAATTAAATATTTAATCCCCTAATTTTGATACTAAGTTAGAGATTAAAGTGATGGATCATCTATTAGCCAACAAAAAATATTTCTTCGTACCGTAGCAATTGACAATAATTATCACTTTTTTTTTTCTCCCAGACGATGATAAAAATAGCTTAAGTTAAAATATAATTTTAATACTAGATCTAGATCTAACCTCCACGTAATTTGAATTCCCGATATCTACTAGATTCTAGTATCTAGAATCTAGATAGGGACAAATATCGAGCTTAGATCTTAACCACCGTGTATCTTTATGGGGTGACCCGTCTTTATGATTATTAATGGGCCTTTATAACTCGATGACCATCACTAACAGAAGGTTTGAATATGCTTGGTATTGCGTGGAAACAATGGCTCATTTTTATTATCTTGAATTAATATCTTGATATGTAGTGTAGATTAAAGATCTAGGCCTAGATCTAGGTCTTTTAATTTTTAAAGTCTTTAGATCACTTAATGCATCATTTGAATATCCGCATTTAAAAAAAAAATAATATTTCAGTCACTTTTCACAAACAGCAACCAAGATGACACATCGATAGTTAGTTAAGCTTTGCCTTTGGTGCCTTAAGTCCGTTAGTAGACTAAACATAGATCTATGTCTTTGTCTATTATTATATTATAACGAATTAGAATCTATGTATATGAAAGGCCTAAATCGTAATAGATCTAGAATCTAGTACTTATAGACTTACGAATTACGCATGTAGATCTATCTAGACTCTAGACCTATATTAAGTTGAATGATGCATAATGAAATTGATAAGCAAATCGATTAAATGAGATAATCCAAATTCAATTAAATGGATTTGTATAGGTATGACTGCTTCTTTGATTCTTCCCTTTTGCCTTTTAGTAATAGAAAAAAACCCCAGCCAAATGAATAGCATATAATATCAATAAGAATAGGCTAAAAGTTTTAAAGGAGATAATGATACAATATTGAAAATGAAATACACTCATTTGTCTGTTAAACTAACTTTAAAATTGGCCCATTATTAATGATAAAACATTTATTAGGTTTTTAATTTGTGAATAGATCTAGCCTGTATAATCATAGTCCTGAGGAAATAATTAATTAAGTTTTAAACTAACTACTACAGCTTTTTATAATAATTTTGTTAAACAAGTGTTCTTTACCATTATAGAAAATATTATGATAGGCCATCTTGGTGTTGAGAAGACCCGGCTTCATGATGTGGGGTAAATACTTGATTTTTTTTTTCTAGAAACTTAATTTAGTTTACAATTTTAAAGGTGTGGCAATAAGTTATACTACTAAGTTATATAACTAAGTTATTGACAAAAAAAAGCCCCACTGAACATGTAGGTCTATTTAAAAGCATATAGATCTATTATTTAATTTGACATTACCTGTTTTTAGTGAAATTCACTATCAAGATCATGATAGCATCATGGGTGTTCTTGTCTGTTGGCGCAAATCATTCATGTGACAGTGAACCTTGCCAGCCAGGATATTTCTGCCACCAGGAAAAGTTCATCTGTTTGGATTGTCCTAGCGGGTAAATATCCAAACACTCTGGGTAAATAATTTTAATGTGCCCCCCCCCCCCCCATTGTTATAAAAAACAAGAATCTCCAATGAAATGATGTCACCCACTCCCTTTTTCTCATTTGTAATATTATGTACAGTACAACTTAATCAGGATCAAGAGCATGTATGTAAAAGAAATAAATAACAATTTACAAAATGAATTAAAAGAATGTGGAAATTCAGTTTCAAAATTAACTTTTTAAAATGATAAGTTGTGCTGTTACGTTTTAACCTCCTCTACCCTAAAAACACATTCCCTAAAGTCTGCTACCCCTACTTCTCCACACACACTTCACCCCACCAAATTTATAAGGATAGCTGTCAAATACATATTTAAAAAAAAATTTAACACTTTAATATATTTAAATATTGTTAGTGTTGACAAAATTTGATGAAAAATAACAAGAACAGTAGAGTATATATTATGTTATTAAAAATATCAGTTAAAATGAATATTTTATTTTAAAACCTGTGATACAAATGATTTTTTTGACATCATTTTAAAAACTATTAAGATACAAAAATTGTATGTGAGTGAGTCTAGTTTACATGAGAACAACTGTTTTCATAAACAATCCCACACCTTTCTACTATTTATTTATCTATCTATCCACCCATAACCCTGAAAGGGTTATTGGCACACTACTCTTGACACTTTCATAATGCTACTATACTAATACAGCCACAAAACTCTCAAAATGAAAAAAAAATATGAAAATTGGGCAGTGTTGTAATTGGTATATGGATCAGTTTAGAAAAATCTAAGATTAAAAGTAAAAACTGCACAGCTTTGAAATTTGTCAACACACTGATATGTTTAAACAACAAATGTTTAATTAGGATATTATTATTAGGATACTATTATTTTAAGCAATACAATAGTCTTTTTAGCGCAATTTCCATATGGACAATTGCGATTATTAACTCGTCATTTCTGGATGGATGAATGAATGAATGGATGTGTGTCCGCAGCTTTAAGTCGTATCTCATCCTCAACGAAGCAATATCGAGGACTAATTCCAAAAGCAAATATGTTAAGCAAGTTCCGAGGATGATTGTGGGCCAAAAAAATTCCCGGAATTGCTTCCTGGATTTCCCGGAAAAGCCAAAAAAAAAACCTAAAAAAAAATGCAGTTTTTGGCCCATATCTCGGCAACCAGACCACTTAGCTACTTGAAACATTTAGCAATCGATTCCTGCCATAATTTTGAACAATATTGCCGAAGAAAATTTTCAAAAATATCCTTTCGTTCGGTCACAAAAAATTAATTACCACTTTTTTAAACTGAGTATCGTGTAGGCCTAGGATGATATTTTTTTAAAAAACTGAGCATCGTGTAGGCCTACTCGTTAAAATAAAACTATTTCCGTTGATATAGGTTAATATAGTTGTCTTTTTTTTAGCGCAATTTCCATACTGGTTTCTATTTTGTTTTGAATTATTAAAACTACTTGTGTTGCATTATTTATTTGCTGAATATATGATTTATCTCAATTTAAAATTGTTATGGATAACATAAGGAAATTGCGCTTAAATTGTCACTAGACTTTTTATTAACTTGTTTTTTTTTTAAAAAAAGGACTTTTCAGCCAGAGATTGGGAGATCTCCTTTCTGCAGAAACCACACAGCAAATCCCACAGGTAACCATCAGAGTTATCACCTACTGCAAGCAGGAACTACAACTGAAGACAACATTTGGGAGCTCACAAACAGTAACACTTCAGATATCTTTAATGCATCACCATCTGAGGAAGTGAAGCAGTCCCAGTCTAATGATAATGGTACCTCACTGTACTCTTTTGTAAAAAAAAAACATATTGGCATTAACAATACCTTGGGCCTTATATCTATTTATACTTTACATAATATTATTCAGGGGCGGGGGGAACTAATTTTCAGTGGGGGGGGGGGGAGGCACTGGTTAAAGTATATTTATTTCCTATGTAAAAATGTACTCTTTATTTCATTGAGGGAGGGGGAAGAGGGGGGGGGGGAACCCCCAAAGTGAAGCTTAAAAAATCCTCTGGTTTCTATAAAGTTTTAAAATGTCTTTTTGTAAAGTAACTTTAAATTTTTAATTTTTTTTTGGACATATTTGTATTCAGAATTTCTTAACTCTCTCCTTAACCTCAATAACTAATGAGGAGGGTTATGAATAGTTTGGTAATTTGAATAATACAGTTTTTTAGTGGCTTATACAAAATATGATATGGTTTACTCACAATGGTTTAGTGATGGATAGTCTTACCTCACTCTAATCATGGAAAGTAAAAGTAGCAAACCATAGGCCTTGTGCTGAACAGACAATCCCATCAATGTAACAGATAAAGTAGGCTATAATTTATTTAATCATTGACTACCATATGTAAATAGCAACATTTCATACCATAACACAGAAATTATTGAAAACAAAAGACACTTAATCAATACAATAAAATGTCTTGAAAATAAAAAATAAATATTTTTTTTTGCAGTGATTATCATTACGCTTCCTGTCATTGCAGTTCTAATAATAATAATAACAGGCCTTGTTATCCTGATATACTGTTTGTAAGTTAAATAAACTATGTGTTGTGTTCTGTGTTCTGGGATTATTTACAAATAAATTGTATCAAATCTAATACTATTTAAGCAAACTTACCTAACAGAACCTAACAAAACCAACCAAGTAATTTTTTATTTTTAACTAATCAATTCCTTCAGATTTAATAGATGCAGGCAACCTTCTGTTCTTCATGATTAAGTAATATCATCTGGCTGAATTATGCATATATATAGTCACTGTGCATACATAATGGTCTTAAAATAGGGCATTTAGCTATTATTTAAAAAATACAATTTAAAATAATAATTGACTATCTTTAGGCTTAGTTTTGTAGAACCTATAACCCACATTTTTATTTTAAAGCCATATATAGTACCATCAGGCATAAATACTTCAGATTAAATATGCTATTTTTTAAAAAAAAATTTTAAATCTACTGAAAACTGTAACCTCTCTAAACAGGTTGAAGAAAAGAGTGTTAAGGGTAGATCAACAACAGCATCAAGCCCAGGTAATTACACCAATAGATTAACATTGAAAGAGAAAATATTAAAGCCTAAGATTAATTTCCTGTCCATTAAAACATAATGTATTTATTTTAGATCAAAATATCACTATTTAAAGCTAACTATTATCATGTAGTTATAAGACTAAAAACACAAAAAAACTGACACCATATGCTGAACACTGAAATCAGTGTGTCATTGTTTGCATCATTGCATCACATTCAGCTTTTAAAGTTGCCCATAAATAGATAAATAAATACATTTGAAAATTTGACTTTTTTATTTTGTTTTATTTTAGGAAGGAGTAGATCTACCTCTAACTCAAAATAACTTAGAAGCTGCTTCTAACTCATGAAGGCAAACAATTATTTATTCAAAAGTAAATTCAAAACTTTGTATGCCAAAACTTATCTATCTTCAAACTTTCATCCATATTTGACTAAAATAGTTAAAAATCAAACGATAAATTTAATCTCATAAATAATTCGTTCGTTTTAACCTTAATTTTTATTTGTGTTTATATTTCAACTCATTCGATTTTCTTTCTTGCTTTCAGCTATTAGAGATCTACCAGTAAAAATGTATATGGTCACCCACAGTTATTAGTTAAAAATGTTTACTTTCCTCTTCATAACTGTGGTGTGTCCCCTTGTGAACATTGTGCAATGTATTACTTCATGAGTGGACTATTAATGTTAGAACTGGTGTGTGGCTATGTGATTGGCTAATCAGTGCATTTAAAAAATTCTAGTATAGATTGCTAGATTGTAGTTTTTAAACAGTTAAAATTGAAATTCTGTCTTCCTTTAAAATGTTTGTAGATGAGAAACTCTTAATAAGTGGAAATTGAATGAAAATATGTTGGCTCTTGGTTAATTCAGAAATATTTTCTATTAAACATTTAAAAAGTATATGTATTTAGTTATAAAGATCTCTACGTATATACATTATCTATATATATACATAAAAAAATATATATCAAGGTGGACCGTTGGGATGCCGCAAGTGTCCTTATGATCAGCTTTCTTCATTACTCTATGTCCTCCACTATCTCAAGTGCCTTTTTCAGTATTAAACCCATCCATTCTTTCCATCAATTATTTGGTTTTTTTCCTTTAAATTTTCATGGTACTGTTCCTTGTAGGTAGTGTCTGCTAGCAATTTTGTGTCCTTACAATTTGAGCTGTTAATTTTTGATGATTGTCTAAAGATCATCATGTTGACGGATCAGCCATGTATTTTATGATGCACTACATCACTTAAGATGTGATCTTTGTATGAGATTCCTAGTAACTTAAAGTAGCATCCTATTTTTGTGCCTTGGATTTCATTTTTAGTTTTGCTGTTAGTGCTGAGGATTCCCACTCATAAAAATGTGGCCATTACCAATAAATGCATTTTTAAAAAGTAATGTCTGACCAAGGATTCCCACTCATAAAAATGTGGCCATTACCAATAAATGCATTTTTAAAAAATAAGGTCTGAACCTTACAGCTTTTGTCTAAGATGATTGATACTAAATTGATTATTATTAAGCATAGCATCAAAACTGTTATTATTAATTATTAAGTATCAATGTTACCACAGGGTTGTGATGTCCTGCAGTTTATTTGGTGAGGTAATATATATGAGACTAATTGACACTGAAGTAATATCCTGTTCCATTTTGTTAATGCTGCTGTTTTATTGGTGCTAAAACAAGCTCATTTTTTTAGCTAGTTTTGTTTTTTACTTATATTTTTACAAATGTGTTCTACGTTGATTTGTTTAAAACATAAATAACATCAGTTATAATATAAAAATGATATACATGTATTACCTGTTCCTTTAGCTATAGAAAAAACGCACAACTTATCAGAACAATGTATGAAGGGGGAGTTACGTGTGCATGTCTCAGATGTTTTGTCTACCTCACGTTGAATAAGATACAAACATCACTACAAAGACGGTATTTTTGTGGTATTGAAATGTGTTGGTATCTTATTCTATTGTTATTTTCTAGAAAAATATTTTTTGTATAAAATAATTACTTACGATGTATTAAATCACACATGATTACTTTGATGCATTCAATATAAAACAGCAGGTCCAACACTAAGCAGACTGTAGGTTAACTACTTAACTTTAAAAATTGTTGCATTTTTTAAAGTCCAATTTTTGCACCTTCTATGGTCTAGCCAGCTCAACAGTACTTCCCTTGCTGAGCTATGCATCACTTACTAGTTTTTAGAAAGTTTTATGTATCTTGCTATTTCCTATCATTCAACCTACATGCATTTATACATTTATACTCAAGCCATGTATTTGTGTGCTTTCTCCTAACATTACGACTGAGTAGGTTTGTTAGGAGGATTTTTACTATTATCTGTTAGGTTTGTAAAGAATAATTTTTATTAACTAAATAAATAATATATATTCAGTAAATAGTCTATTTCTAAAACCTTTTTAGAAAAGTGATTGAAGATTCCAATGTTAAACAATAAAATTTGTTTTTTTACTTTTGTAATCTAGTTTTTGTTTACTTTGTTTTTATGGCTGTCTATGTTCACATTTTGTAGCACACAAACATAAGTTGTACCACAGTGTTCCCACAACAATGATAAAATGTTGACTTTGTTGTAAGATCCCCAAAAATCAGGGCAATACTATGCCAGACCATGTACAATGCAGTGCAATGCTTAATGACATGTTTCTTAGCAATACATGAACAGAAAAACATATTAGATATCGGTATTTTTTCACGTACCTGCCAGCAATAGAAATTATTCAGTGAATCAAAAGGCTATCATAGCAACTAATATTCAACACAGAAGCAGGATTTGGGCAACAAACAAAAAAAGAATCAGTATAACTAAACACTGTAAAAATTATTTTATTTACAAATTAGTTCTAGGTCATTAAGTTTCCAGTAAATATTGAATTACTCAATAACCAAAAATTCTGAGAGCCCCAAAACAATTTTATGAAGAATTTGCTGCAAGATATTATTATCTTGTTTAAAGTGTTACATTTATTTATTTAATATTTCTTAAATTGCATTTTCAGAATTTAAAAAAAAAAACTGCCACATGCATTTTTCAAAACTTAAAATTTAAAAACAACTGATTAACATTAAGGCATAAAATAATAATATAATATTTTATCATTGAAACCTATTGGAATATTCAATACCACTCAAGCACTCTTTACACTGCTGTTAGAATACTAATATGAAATGTGTTTACCACAAAAGATTTTACTTCCTAAAAATATCTAATTAATTAGCATTTTATAAAAAGTATCTAATTAATTACATTTACATTGGATAAAAATATCTAATTAATTACATTTAGTAATGGACTCTCAGATAAAATGTACAGTAATAAAAACAATAACAAAGGATTGCTCATTTTAATAAATAAAAACAGCCCAAAACTCCAGCGTTTGAACTATTCTCTACATCGCTGAAATAACCTGTTAAGTCCTCTTTAATTTGATGAAAAAATAATGCAGAGTAATGAAGTGTTCAGTTTGTTATTGAATCAGCCCAAAAAAGGCATCCAGTGAATCATCTGAACAATGCTTTCAAGAACAAATGACACAAAATGTGACTCCCACAATGAAAGCTGAATGTTTACACCCCCCCAACCCCCAGACTGAATGTCCTCCAGTTTGTGCTGCTCTTCTTCTTGGCATGTGTGGACAAGGGGATAAGTTTTTGTTGGTCAGGATTTTGTCTGCTCAGCAGTTTAGGTAATGGTGGAGGCAGGGGCTGGAGTCTGGCACCATTGTAGCGCAAAGATTTACGGTTCCTTAAAGCATCCTTGACCTTGTGTTCAACCTGAAATAAAAAAAAAAAAACATCAGCGTGGATGTAAGTACAACAAACACTTTTTTACAGAAAAATTTCCAGGAAAGAAACATTTAAGTTTATATTTTTAGAATAAATTATATTTGTAGGAGCTATGTGTGTTTCAATTATGACTATTTATAATCTACTTGTTAACCTATAAATTAATCCCTTTTAAAAATAATTCTTTTCAATAAAAGTATTTTGTTTAAGATTTGTAATTTATATTTTTAAGTGATGCTTTCCTAAAAGTAATAAAAATTATTTCAGATTTGGTAGATTTATAAAAATTTTGTATACATAAAAAACAAAAAGGAAATGACCTTTTTCTTCTCATTGACTTGCTGCACATAGAATTCTTTTTCTTCCATACACATACTGTAGATCACACCTACATCTGTTGGCTGCCATGTTTGTTTCTCTGCTTTCTTCACTGGCTCTGAGTGGCTGGGTACAAATGCCAGACTTTGCATCTCAGAATTTTCTGTACCTGCAGGTCCACTGAAAACAAAAATTAACCCCTAAATGTTGTAAAACTAGTTGTGTAAACTCTTGGTGAGCTTTAATAGTAGTTTCTCTTTTTTATTATTGAATAGGCCTATAGAATGAGATGGGAATCAGGAGAAGCCATTCTGTTTTCATTCAAGTATGTAAGGTTTTTTAAAGTCCATCACTATTAAGAACTGGTTTTTTAAGATTTGAACAGAAAGTGTGAATTGGATTTTGCTGTAACTTCAAATCATTCACAAAAAATGTGATTTAAAACTTTGTAAGAAGATAAGCCTCTATCAGTATAACATGAGGATTAACCAGTACTACTTTAAGCTAAATGTTCAGAATCTCTGTGCAACTGACCTGAGATTTGAGTGACTGTTTTTTACTGCTAGAGCTGCCGGGCTACTCATGATGTCGGCAACAGATTTGCCAGGGAAGAGTCGTGTCATCATTGACATGAGTTCCTCACTAGATGGCGCTAGCAGAAGACCATGCAAGAGATCTTCTTTGGCTCCTGTTGTATTCTGTTAAATAATTTATACCATGTAGGCCTATATGGATGTTAAATTTTATTTACAAACAAGAAACATAGTCTATCAATAAGTAGCCTACTGTTAATAAATTCATTTCCTTAATGTGTATAAGGATTTAAGCTTTAGTCATAGTCTATGAACACTTTTTACTATAAACATTACATTTTAAAAATCCCTATAATTGAAAACAAATTCCTTTTAGCTGTGTCTATGAAAGTTTAATTTTAGAATTACATCCCAATAACACTGCCCAAGTATTTTAAAAATCGAAAAAATATTTAAACAAAACATTACATCTAGCATGTAGCGTGTGCGAGCCCGAGATATGTAATACTGTCCTTCATGTGGTTTGTTCTGTATGGCTAGGGTGAATTCAGCCTCTGCTTCCTGGGGGAAAATGTGGAACACAGCAATCAAAAATATATTTATAGTTAAAAAATGTGTTTTATCAATTATTGGTGTGATAGTGGTGTTGTTATGACAACTTGACATAATTTTGTAGTAATTTTATTGTGGGGTTACTTTAATGTATAAAATGAGTTTAACAGTGGCTGTTCCATATTTAAAGAAGACACCTTTTTAATCAGGTTTTTTGATAGTCCACTATATTGTTGAGTTAGAAACATAATATGATCTAAGCTGTCATGTAACAGGAAGGACAAATACCAGACTCACAGTATAATTTTTGTCCTGAAGAAAATTAGAACCAAATTCATTATGTATTGCAGCAATTCTTGTTTTTATGGCGCTGTCTTGTGGGTCCAGCTCCAAGGCTTGGTCGTAGTCTTCTAGAGCAAAGCTGAGTTCATTTTGTTTGTAGAAACAATCTGAGGGAAAAATAACTATCTGTAATGTGTTCTTTAACAACCTAACTAAAACAAAAAATATTAATTGTTCCAACAGTTATAAGAAACAATATTTACAAAACCACAGAGAATTTTAGAGTAGAGAGAAAAAATGCTATAATTTAATGTTTTAATCTAATAGTATAGTATTAGTAAATAATAAATAGTATTACTTAATGAAAATGTAACAAATGTACATTTGCAAATATAAAAAGAAAGACAAAATGGTATTTCAAATCCATTACCTCCCCTGTTTACATAGAGTGACTTCTCGTTCTTCTCTCCCTTGATTGCTTTGTTGAGTAAAATGATAGCCTCATCATAAAAGCCCTTGGTGAAGCACTCCACAGCGAAGTCATTGTAGGTGAGCAGCAGCTGTCTCTGGGACTTTGTGTACACCGGGTCATCTTCGTTGTGGTCAGCCTTGTCTAGCGCCATCAGGAACTCATCAATAGCAGAGTTGAAGTCATTCAGCTTGCGGTACAGTGCTCCCCTAGTCAACATGGAACATCAAGAAAACATCAGTTTATAGGGCTACCATGGTCAACAGGGAACATCAAGAAAACATCAGTTTATAGGGCTCCCCTGGTCATTTGGGAACATCAAGAAAACATCAGTTTATAGGGCTCCCCTGGTCATTTGGGAACATCAAGAGAACATGAGGTTACTTGATTGGTGTGTATCAAATATCCAAGACCTACACCGAAAACACTACAATCTACAATCATGGGATTAACATACTGACCAAGCTACAGATACCAGACAGGTACTGAACAGTGGTCAAAGCTCTTTAAAAACGTTGTTGTTTTTGGCATGAAAAATATAGATCTATAACCTGGAGACATGCTTGTTACACTGTTTACTAGCTGTTACCTGGGGTTAATATATTTTTTACCTGGGATTAAAATTTGATACCATAGTTTATGGCAGTCTGCAACTTTGGGGTTTATTTCTATGTAACCAAAGGGACAGTATCTATGTTCCTTGCAGTTCATATTTTTTGTTGTTATCTGGGGTTGTTGTCATGGTAGTCAGCCAGTATGGGGTTAAGATTTATTACCTGAGGACATGGTAGTCAGCCACCGTAGGGTTAAGATTTATTACCTGAGGACATGGTAGTCAGCCACCGTGGGGTTAAGATTTATTACCTGAGGACATGGTAGTCAACCAGTATGGGGTTAAGATTTATTACCTGAGGACATGGTAGTCAGCCACCGTGGGGTTAAGATTTATTACCTGAGGACATGGTAGTCAGCCACCGTGGGGTTAAGATTTATTACCTGAGGACATGGTAGGCAGCCACCGTGGGGTTAAGATTTATTACCTGAGAACATGGTAGGCAGCCACCGTGGGGTTAAGATTTATTAACTGAGGACATGGTAGTCAGCCACCGTAGGGTTAAGATTTATTACCTGAGGACATGGTAGTCAGCCACCGTGGGGTTAAGATTTATTACCTGAGGACATGGTAGTCAACCAGTATGGGGTTAAGATTTATTACCTGAGGACATGGTAGTCAGCCACCGTGGGGTTAAGATTTATTACCTGAGGACATGGTAGTCAGCCACCGTGGGGTTAAGATTTATTACCTGAGGACATGGTAGGCAGCCACCGTGGGGTTAAGATTTATTACCTGAGAACATGGTAGGCAGCCACCGTGGGGTTAAGATTTATTAACTGAGGACATGGTAGTCAGCCACCGTAGGGTTAAGATTTATTACATTATGACATGCAGTCAGCCACCGTGGGTTAAGATTTATTACCTGAGGACATGGTAGTCAGCCACCGTGGGGTTAAGATTTATTACATTATGACATGCAGTCAGCCACCGTGGGTTAAGATTTATTACCTGAGGACATGGTAGTCAGCCACCGTAGGGTTAATATCTATGGCTATGGAAATCCTCTGCAGAGCTTCCCTGTGTTTGCCAGCAATGTTGAGCTGCATGGCCTCGGCCTTGTTGGAGTTGGCCTGCATCACCATGGCGTCCATCATGGCCCGACCTTCAGTGTGGTCAGGGTCAAGGTTAAGGGCATTCTTGACATCATAGAAACATAAGGTGCTCTGGTGTCATAAAATAACATAATTTTGGAATGAGATTCTAATTAAATGGAGAACAAAATAATAATTTTGGAATGAGATTCTAATTAAATGGAGAACAAAATAATAATTTTGGAATGAGATTCTAATTAAATTGAGAAAAAAAAATTAAAGAAGAGTAAATCAATGTTTTAAAACAAAATTTATCATACAGTTGTAGTTGAGTAGTAATTATTATATTTTTGAGTCATGCAGTATTAATAAACATGCAAAAACATGAAAATTCTATCCCATGTGTCCCAGCATCAATATCAACAAGTCAAACAAGTGTGTACTGAGATGTTTGTACTTATTAGTGCACTGTCAAGATGCCAAGTTAGAGTAGTGGGTCTTATTTGGACCAATGGCTGATAATGATGAACCATGGGTGTTAATTCATTTCAGTCTAGTACCCCCTCATTAAAAATGATCATTTAATAATGAGAAATAGTCTTTATTCCAGAGGTATGACTTGTTTATGAAAAAAAAATTACACACACAAACTTAACAATAAGAAATGTCTACTGTACTCACATTCCTAAACAATTTATGCAGCCTTGCTCTGAGTACATAAAGGTCAGGGTTGTTCCTGTCTGTCTCTAGTCTAGTGTTGACTAGTGCCAGACATTCAGAGTGTCTGTTCAAGGCTGCCAGGCAAGTTATGCTACCAAAACAGAAGTGTAGAGATATAATATAATATAATTTAATATAATAAATTATAATATTTCTATTTTAAAAATCATTTATATGATATTCCCAATATGCTTTCAATAATAAAGGTCATTGTAAAATGGCTAGAAGCTTCTGTCATTCTAAAATGACCACACATGAGGTTAGACTAAATGGCTAGTATCTTTTGTTATTTTATCTGGTCAGTACCTTAGGTTATTTTATCTGGCAAGTACCTTAGGTTATTTTATCTGGCCAGTACCTTAGGTTATTTTATCTGACAAGTACCTTAGGTTATTTTATCTGGTCAGTACCTTAGGTTATTTTATCTGGCCTTTACCTTAGGTTTTTTTTTTATCTAATCAGTACCTTAGGTTTTTTTTTTATCTAATCAGTACCTTAGGTTATTTTATCTGGCAAGTACCTTAGGTTATTTTATCTGGCCAGAATCTTAGGTTATTTTATCTGGCAAGTACCTTAGGTTATTTTATCTGGTCAGTACCTTAGGTTATTTTATCTGGCAAGTACCTTAGGTTATTTTATCTGGCCAGAATCTTAGGTTATTTTATCTGGCAAGTACCTTAGGTTATTTTATCTGGTCAGTACCTTAGGTTATTTTATCTGGCAAGTACCTTAGGTTATTTTATCTGGCCAGTACCTTAGGTTATTTTATCTGGCCAGAATCTTAGGTTATTTTATCTGGCAAGTACCTTAGGTTATTTTATCTGGTCAGTACCTTAGGTTATTTTAAATTGGCTAGAACATTAGGTTATTTTATCTGGTCAGTACCTTAGGTTATTTTATCTGGCCAGTACCTTAGGTTATTTTATCTGGCCTTTACCTTAGGTTATTTTATCTGGCAAGTACCTTAGGTTATTTTATCTGGCCAGTACCTTAGGTTATTTTATCTGGCCTTTACCTTAGGTTATTTTATCTGGTCAGTACCTTAGGTTATTTTATCTGGCCAGTACCTTAGGTTATTTTATCTGGCCTTTACCTTAGGTTATTTTATCTGGTCAGTACCTTAGGTTATTTTATCTGGCCTTTACCTTAGGTTATTTTATCTGGCCTTTACCTTAGGTTATTTTATCTGGACAGTACCTTAGGTTATTTTATCTGGTCAGTACCTTCTAATGTGATATCCAACATTCCCTGGCACCATATCTGAAGCTTTTGTGAATGAGCTCATGGCCTGCTCATACAAACCAAGGTCAAACAATGCCTGACCCTTAAAGTAGTAGGTCAAGGCCAGTCTGTTATAGTATTCTTGGTTCTGCTGGTCCAACTGGCAAGCCTTCCTGTAGTTCAAGATACCTGACTGAAGGTTGAAAAAACAAATTATTGAAAGTTTAAAACATTAAAATATTAACTTATTGGAAACATTTTGAATTTTATATTAAAACACAATAAACAAAACATCATCTAATTAGCTAAAGTTACCATAAAATCTAACAATTCCTGAAAACAAACTATGATAAGCAAACCTAAAAATGGTGCAAGTTCAACAAGAAATATTAAAATGAGCTAGCTACAGCCAACAAACCTAAAAATATTATAACTATTGTCAACACTACAACTAGCCAACAAAACTAAAAATATGTTAACTATAGTCAACTCTATGATTAGCCAACAAAACTAAAAATATGTTAACTATACTCAACTCTATGACTAGCCAACAAAACTAAAAATATGTCAACTATAGTCAACTCTATGACAAGCCAACAAAACTAAAAATATGTTAACTATACTCAACACTACGACAGGCCAACAAAACTAAAAATATGTTATCTATACTCAACACTACAAAATGCCAACAAAACTAAAAAATATGTCAACTATAGTCAACACTATGACTAGCCAACCAACCTGGAAATCACAAAGCTTGATGTACACCTCAGCCCTCTGTGCGTAGAACACGGGGTCATCAGGCTTCAAGCTGATGGCCTTGTTCAGGCTGGCAATGACACGGACTGGGTCTCTGTCTTTATCCAGTGAGTTTTGAAAGCTGGGAGAGTTAACATGTGTTAGCAGTAGTAAACAATAGCACAGGGTAGTCTATTTGTAAGAGTTAACTTGTATTAGCAGTAGTAAACAATACCACAGACAGTAGCGTACGCAGGGGGGGAGCAGGGGGATCAGCCGCTCCCCCTCTGGCCATTTTCAGCAAAGTGGCGCCTTTTTGGAAACTTTTTAAACTCAAAGTTTTAAACAATGATATTTGTTTAAAAAATACTTTTGGTCGGCACATCTATGTAAATCACAAGATTTCTTTTCATGTAGCAACTAATCATTATTGTACTAGTCTAGTAGTGTCTACGTTTACAACACGTATTAACAACTGCATCAGTTTGCCATTCTAAAATAACCATTACGATGCATTGCAATGTTTAAAAAACCTCTATGGTAGTACCACTTGGCAAGGGGGGGTGTTAAGTTTAAGGCAACTGTATAATGTATTTGCTTACGCATAATTGAATTAGAAAATGTTATACATAAAACTTCACACATAATTACTTTATATATACAGTTTGAATCGTGTGATTAATTTTTAAAAAAATTACAATACAGAAACAAATACAACTGATGTGGCACCTCTATTTAAATTGGGCAAACTGCGTAGTGGTGGGGAAATTTTAACAAGGTCAACAACCTCATCATGATGAAGTAGTAGTATTCTTACAGTTTGGGCGATAGTGATTACGATTACAAATTATATGAAACAGTTACAACCCCCCTCCCCAATGGACCCCTCTGTAAAAAGAATATTGTCATAATACCACTGCTACTTATTTAAATCTATTTCTTTAACATATATTTGTGTAATATATATGTATGTTTAGAACAGTCATCTAAAAACTGACGCTATGTTCACTCTGAGTTGGTTATCTCCCCCCCCCCCACACACACACACCTCACCACCACAATTGTGTAGAGCGACATTAATGTCACACCTAGGTATACACTGGGTTGGATAATTGACCTAAAGTGAACGGACAGTGGTGAATGAAGTTGAAACCATCCCCCCCCCCCCCCCAAAACCCACCCCGAACTGATCTGTTAAGTACATGTAGAAAAACGTGTAATGATGTACCAAAGTACCATGCCGCCAGAAAATTAGCTTATTAAACGTAAAACTCTGTGACTATTGTTTTTGCAATTACCAGTAAAAAGGTGTGTGATCAATACAGTGATCTAACCCATACCTATCACTATGTTAAAAAATGGTCTTTAAAAAACACAAAGAAGCAGTACTTAATTAAAATATATGATCTGAACTAAAAGACCGATATTTAGTTAAATGTAGGCTGTTATTCCAAATGTTTTTCTATTATATCGAAAAGCATGGTTTTATACAAACTCTGATTTGAAAAACTTTCATTATGCTGTAATACTTTAGCATTTATGATGACGATATATTAAATTCTGATTATAGACAAAAACATTTTGTAAACACGAATAGTGTTAAACAATTTCATTATATTCTAAAGTAATTATTTATTTGTTTTGACATTTATAATTAAATGTGTAGATATATACATATTTTTATTAAGAGAGTGATTATTTCCGCTATTTCACTTGTCTTAAATAATTTCCCAGGAATTATTATGTAAGAATTTTTTCTTACAAGAATTACAAAACAGATTGTGTTACGTTCATTGTTTTTGGTTGTAGTGTGTATATATATATATATATATATATATATATATATATATATATATATATATATATATATATATATATATATATATATATATATGTATATATATATATATATATATATATATATATATATAATACAAGTATATAGAACGTGTTAAAAATTCGGCGCCTTTTTTTACTCTTTTCGCTCCCCCTACAACGAAATCCTGGATACGCCTCTGACCACAGAGTAGTCTGTTTGTGAGATATCTAAACAGCTGAGCACAACAATACAATACATAGTAGTAAAGTTACATAGATAACACCTAAGAAAGCAAATGAAAATTATTTTATCAAATGAATTTAGAAACACATTTCAGTTTGATCAGTTTAAACAAGGGTAAACCTATACAATTCAGTAAGCTTCATTTAATAGTTAAAATACAATTACTTTTTAACAATTAGACTGGCTTACTTACTGCTCATTGATTAGATTGGTTTACTTACTGCTCATTAGCCTTCTCATTAACCAGCTCACAAAGTCCCACACTCTGCTCTTTCTCCCTGTAGCCACCTCCTGTAAACAAACCCTGACTTCTCAATATGGCCGCCTTGATTGATTCCTCATCAACGGCTGTGGTGAAAACTCCTTCCTATAACACAAAGGTTTGCTATATTATTGTATGCCATAGCAGAAAACAATACACACACAATTTTATAAATATCTATAGTAACCCAGGTTTATTATTTCATTTTAAACTGTTTTTTATAGTGTTTAACATGATATCCATCATTTGAATTTTCGCCTAGTCATTTTATTGAAACACAACAGCCAAGGTTTTTAATATATTAAAAAAAAACTGAAATCTATGCAATTTATAATTGTTCATCCTTTAGGTTCATATAGTTAATGAATTTTAGTATTCTGTTCTACACAGAGATTATGTGCTTTTGATTAAAAAAATGTAGGCCCTACTTGTTTTTCAGCGTCAACTTGGTTCTCTGTAGGGTCAGTGGGTTCCTGATCAAATGCTGCATCTTCATCATTCTCAACATCTTCATTGTCATCACTTTGCTGAAATTTAAGCATCAGAATAAGAGTTTCATATTTAAAATTTTTAAATAATTATTAAAATTTTAAATAAATCTTAAAATTATAAACCCTAGCTTGCTACAATGCTGCCAGAAGAAGGATATGGAGCTGTAGCTTCAAATGTTTAACTTTCTGTGATCATATTGTGGAAGAAAGGTTAATAAAAGTATCATTATACAATGAATGACCTCCCCCTTATTTACTTCGTCAGTTTCTTCAGCAAGCTCATCAGCGCTGTGATCAAATTTAGAGTCCTCCTCTTCTATGGCAAGTAGGCTTCTGTCTTCTTTGACTATCTGTTTTCTGCTGAAGGAATGTTCTAGAATGGGGTAGAACTGGTGAATGTTTATTTCGCCTGGGTCTTGTGAGTAAACCTGGGGCTTGGTCTCTGCATCTGAGATTTAAAAAAACAACACATCAATTGTGACATCTTAAAGCACATCAATTGTGACATCTTAAAAAACATAATCGTGACATTTTAAAGCACATTGTGACATTTTAAAACAACTGAAAAAATGATTTTAATAAAAAATAATTACAGTATTTAGCAAAATCCCTCATAAAATTTAGTTATTATAATTAAGGACACACCAAACCAAATAAAAACAAACAGCTTCTACTCACCAACACTGACAGGAGAGAGAGATGTGTCATAGTCTCCAAAAAAACTGTCAGCCTCTGGTGTATCTGAAGTTGATTCTGAATGACTTGAAAGGAAGGCCCTAATTCGGATTTGGTTACTGTCAGGTGCCTCATTAGTACTGGCATTTGCAGACATTCTTTATTTTAATGTATACAAAATCTAAAGCAGCTTGTTCCTAAGTTACTTTAGTTCAGTTGAGGCCAAATGCTCTCAATCTCATACTTGGACAGACCTAAAAAAAACCAATTATTTTACTGAGTTGTTCATTCAATTCCGTTGGTTATGGCAAAGTTACTAGATGCATTTGTAGGTGCGAAGAATTCTACTTCAGACATTGATGAAAATCCTACATGAAAGTAGCTTACCTAAATTAAAAATTGTTAGCAATAGGCCAACAATACAAAAGTTACGCTAAAAAAATGGGTAATCTCACGATATAGCATCGGAAGTAATCTGGTAATGTTTGTTAAGTTTCGTAAACATTCATTACTATAAACCATAGCATTTAACCGTTGAAATATAAATAAATTTGAGTGTATTAAATAAATGTTTTAGCCTAACTAAATTTTCAGTTTAATGGACAGAAAATTAGCAACAATTAGACTAATTAGTAGATCAAGATATTAATAATAAAGTCGAGTGTAGTAAATATTTAAAAAAAAAAGAAACACAGAAATGAAAACTTGCCAAAGATTTGCGACAACTAGATCTTTTCAATCTAAATAAAGGCCTAATAAAATAAAACAAATTAAATAGATTATATAGACCAGATAAAATAATTAGCATTGTCTACTATAGACTATGTCACTACAGTATACTAGTATAGTAGTATAGATTATAGTATAGACTTGATTATTTGATAACTTGATCGTTGGTAACTAATTAATAAATTATTGGTAAAACTCCATTTCAGCGTATTTTATTCTCCGTTGCTTGTTTACCTCCAGTTGAGCGTATTTTATTATAACAACCGAAACACACCAAAACATTAGGAAAACACGATTTATTTTTTGTATTGTATTTCTGTTTTCACAAATGAATTATAATTTAATTAATTGTTTTTTTATTTAATAATTTATAAAGACGTTTTAATAGGAGGGAAAAAAGGAAGATAACTACCTCTGGAAGATTATGAGACACCTTTAATTTAAATGCCGCTTCATTTAGATTAAATGAAGCATTTAACATTATGATAGCAAAAAAAATGTAATCGTTTAAATTTTAAATATGTGCCTTTCGGAACAGTATGCCGCCATATTGTTTATGTATCCATGGATAAATAATTAAATGATACCGGAAATGAAATGATTGTTTCGCACTTTAGTTTTACAAAAATATATATCTATAGAATTGTATAGGTATGGTTGAAAAAATTATCGTAAACTCAGAGGAAGTGGGAAGTACTTAGATTCTACATCTACCTGACAATGAGATCTGGGAAGGGCTAAGAAAGTGTGACATACATTTTTAAAAAAAATTTAAAACTTTTTTTTATACTGAAGTATTGCAGATGTTTCGCATTTTTATTTAAGACTTATAAGTAAATATTAGAAATTGAACAATGTGTACAACCTTTTAAGCATTTTCAAAACTTTTAATGAATGAATATTTATTACAAATATTTTTATACATATCAACCAGAAGTGAGTTTACACTGTGGGTCGAAGGGATTTTAACACAGGCAGAAGTGGGTTTATACTGTGGCAGATGGTAAACACACAGGGCATATGTGGGTTAATACTGTGCACTGGAAAAGTTTGTGAGCTTGATATTATTATCATTTATAATAATATCAGCGGTCTATGACCATATGCGATGACTAATCATACACTATATCGGACATCAAACAAAATTTTCAATCGATTGACCACATTCATATATGTTTTACAACACTAACCGACCTCTAGACATTATATATATATATATATATATAATATATATATATATATATATATATATATATATATATATATATATATATATATACACTACCTGTAGGTACATTTAAACTGTCTGGAGCTAACATTAACACAACAGTTACTTAAAGAGTCACAATTTTAATAATAAATAGCTTTCTATGTCATTAACTACCGGCCCAATTCATCGATTAACCCTTAACGTCTCGGTTTGTCTTTGGCGTTTTAATGAGTGTAGAATTTGAAGTGTTTACGGTGAAAATCGATGAAGTAGAAGTTCATAAACATGTTTTCTCGTGTTCATAATTTAGAGAGTCAGTATCAGATGCGATGGAGAGGTAAGATACAAATATTTCACTCGTTTATGTTAAAGTGCAAGTAGGATATTATAGATTTAATTTAATTGCAAGTTTGAGCAGGGGACGTAATTATGCTGTACTAAAATGTAATGAGCGGTCCGAAATTAAAAACCAAGATGACGAAGCTTGTGATCTAAAATACCTTTAGAAAAATCTTAACATTTATACTTATACTTAAAGTAGTCTGGGTTTAATTATTTTAAAAAAACCCGCTAATTAGACGTTTATTAGAACTTGGTTTGGCCTGTCCACTACTCATCGTCTAGCTCGACTCTATCAAGTCACTCTGGTCAAGCAGAGGGTGATAGGTCGGGGGTAGAGTGGGTGAGGGAGGAGACATTATAGGGGTAGGGTATGTGAGATAGGGTTGGAGAGAGAAAGGGGACATTACAGGGGTCGTTTGGGGGCAGAGAGTTGTATACCCATGTTTAAATACAAAACCTTTCTTCATTGCAGATTACTTCAGGCTTTTAGTCTTGTCGTTTTGCTTTCATTATTAATCGTCTTAACGAGCTCTGAGGATTTACAAGGTGATGTTAGTTAGCTCCGTTTCCCTAGCTACAATGGGATGATAAAAAGGATGAAAATTATGTTAATTATATTATAATAATAATAATTTATAATATATAATAATAATAATGATGACTCTAAGAATCTCTTATATAAATTTAATTAGGAATTTTGTTTATTTCATTGTTTGATGGCTTGTCTTACTTTTACCTCTATACAATCATCTTATTTCTCACTTTTACCTGTTTACTTTTGTTTCACCGTCTCAATCTTACATGTAAATTGACGTCTTCTTGTCTCAATTTGACCTGTATACTGTAGTCGCTCTGTCTCACATTCACCCCTATACAATCTCCACTCTTTGACCTTTACCTGTATACTGTCACCTGTCTCACTTTTACCTGTATACTGTCACCTGTCTCACTTTTACCTGTATACTGTCCCCTGTCTCATGTTTACCTGTATATTGTCCCCTGTCTCACGTTTACCTGTATATTGTCCCCTGTCTCACGTTTACCTGTATACTGTCACCTGCCTCACGTTTACCTGTATACTGTCGTCTCAGTCTCACCTTTACCTGTATACTGTTCTCACTGTCTCACTACATCCACCTGAGCAGTCAGTCTAGCACCAGACGTCTTCCCCTACCACCAGCAGCTGGACAGCAACTATGACCTCTACTGGAACTTCAACAGCACTCACATCATCTTCAGGACAGTGGTCAAGACGAAAGGTACGTCACATTATAGCTTTGTTACATAACAGTTAGCCATGTAATGTGCTACATTAGCTTCGGCTGACTCAAGTGACGTAAAATTACGATCTCGAAACACCAGAAATACCTGGAACTTTTAGCGAAATTATCATATATCGTAGTCCATCGACAGCCACAACTTACTCTGTCAAAAAATATCTGTCTTACTCTATAAGAGATCTGTCTTACCCTGTCAGAGATCTGTGTCTTACTCTGTCGGATAAAGACCCGTATCTGACAATCTGAGAGAACTATTTCAGAAAAAGATCTGTGTCTCATGCTTTGAACTTGTATTTTCTCTAGTTCTGTTGCCCTGCCTTTGTTTTGTCACCTTTAATTGTTGGACAGAAAATATTCTGGTTTTTGAAGTACTAAATATCCTTCCATAGGCTTTACTGGATTTGGAATATCCCCAAATGGATTTATGACTGGATCTGATGTCATCATAGGATGGGTGAAAGATGGTCAAGCATTCTTTAAGGTGAGCTGTACATGATGGTCTGGTATTCTTTAAGGTGAGCTGTAAACAATGGTCTGGCATTTTTTAAGATGAGCTGTACAAGATTTAGTCTGGCATTCTTTAAGGTGAGTTGTACATGATTTAGTCTGGCATTCTTTAAGGTGAGCTGTACACGATTTAGTCTGGCATTCTTTAAGGTGAGCTGTACACGATGGTCAAGCATTCTTTAAGGTGAGCTGTACACGATGGTCAAGCATTCTTTAAGGTGAGCTGTAGACGATGGTCAGGCATTCTTTAAGGTGAGCTGTACACGATGGTCAGGCATTCTTTAAGGTGAGCTGTACACGATGGTCAGGCATTCTTTAAGGTGAGCTGTACACGATGGTCAAGCATTCTTTAAGGTGAGCTGTACACGATTTAGTCTGGCATTCTTTAAGGTGAGCTGTACACGATGGTCAAGCATTCTTTAAGGTGAGCTGTAGACGATTTAAAATCAATTCAGTCACATACAAACAGGACCTTTTGTTATAAGGTGGCTAAACGATTTGATTATTTATTTCTTGATTTATATTTATATACGAAATTCTCTCATATTTTTCTTGTTGCCTAGCACAGAGTATATTTAAAAATGAGATAGATTTTTGTTCATAAAATTAACGCGATATGCTGTCATTATTGATAATCTTCAAGTGAAATAATATCAATTGGTAATGACATTAATTAAAGTGCTATAAATGAATTTGTTAATGATATTAAGGTGAAATAAATGATATTGGTGAAGATATAAAGGTAAAAGTAATACGAATTATATTATATTGATGCTGCAATAGGGCTGGTAACTAGGTCACCAACCAGTTCTATGGCTCAATCAGGTTTTATTGAGCCGTAGAGCTGTTTGGTGACCTACTTACCAGACCTATTGTAATGTTTCCATCAGGACCGGCATGCTCTGGGCAACTTCATGCCAGTACTGGACGACCGTCAGGACTGGTCTCTGATCAGTGCCACGGAGGTGGGGGAGTTCACCACGCTGGTGTTCATCAGGAGTCTATGGCTGTGTGGTCCAGACGATAGGCCCATAGTGGTAAACGTTGCTACATGGTTCAAAACTATGATTATATTTATATGAACTTTGGTTCAAAACTATTGTAATATTTATAAGTACTTTGATTCAAAACATTGGTTATATGTATATGTACTTATGTTCAAAACTATGATTATATTTATATGAATTTTGGTTCAAAACTATTTTGGTTTATGTTGGCTTGCATTGGTTTTAATGTATGCTGATAGTATGTATATTATTTTGTTACTATGGCGATAACTACATGTGTAAATTGGTTCAAAACTGTAATGATAATTGCATGTGAATTGGTTACAAACTATTGTAGCAATTACATATTTACAACTTTATACCTTCTTAAGCTAACCTACACCCTAACCTTAATACTAATGCTAACTCAAAGAAAAAGAGCAAGAAAATCATAGTTTTATAAATTTATATTACTCGACACGTGTTTTTATGATACGTTAAAATAATATGCGTCAAAAGTCTCGTTGTATAATTGTATTAATTCTGTCTACACTGCAATACACAACAGCGGGTCTACATTTAAACAACGTCAACACATAAATCTGATCAATCTCTTATGGCATGGTCCAGTGGTAGAGCACATAACTGCTAGCCCTCAGTATTGGTTCAGAACTGGGTAAGATGAACGTGCACAAAGCTCTAATGGGTACCTGAGTTAGGTCAGAGGTCGCAGGTTTGCCTCACGCTAAACACGCAGACTCTAAATAAGGTTATTAAAAGGAAATCTCTAGCCCGATTTTGGTTAAGGATTATGTGGGCGGGTTGATGTTTTAAACTTGTAACCTAACTTTGACACATTTCAAATGAATCGATTTCTTTCGATTTCGTCCGTCACGAAATCTCACATACTTCAGAGACCGACACATTTAAAATCACAAAAGTTTGTCTTATTTTATTTCTTGTTATTGCATTTAAAAACTTGTTATAATAAATTTTAAAACACTTTTTATTGTTTGTGTCAGCCCGGTACAACCCGAATCATCTTCAGCTACAACCCCAACGACCCAGTGGCCGAGAACAACATCCAGTACCACGGCGCCAACAGACGGGGCACCAGGTCAATCCCTCTCCTGGAGCCGCCTGCAAGTGTTCGGACTCTGAACCCGCTGCCAGATGACGTCATCACGGTCGAGTTTCTAGCCGGCAATGTGAGTATACATCAGTGTATGCAGAGAGTAAGTCATATCATTCTATGCAGAATATAACCAGAGTTTCTTCCAGGCATCTCTTCGGGGGGGGGGGGGGGGGGGGCAAAGCACCCCGAACATTTTTTACCGCCCCCCCCCCCGAACGGAATGAAATTTATATGATTTATATAGAAAATATATACTTTTAACAGTGTCCGCCCCCCCCGAAGAAAGTTTACCGCCCCCCCCCCCCCGAAAATTTCAAGTGCCCCCCCCCCCCCCCCCGGAGAAAAAAGTCTGGAAGGAACACTGAATATAACGCACATAAGTCTATGCCTCTTTGTGTCACTATACGCATACACTAATGTACCGTCAATAAACTAGTAAACGCGATAAACTACAATAAAACATACACACTATAAGGTCTGGTAAAAATGACTTAATTTTGTATTGCAGTTCCAAGTCCCGGCTACCGAAACCTACTTTAACTGTAAGATCTTAAAACTTCCAGACTTGCAGATGAAACATCACATGATTCGGGTAAGTCACCTGTCAAGTGTGAGGGTGTGTGTGTGTGGGGGGGGGGGGGGAGGGGGTATTAAGGAAAAATTTATTGTCCTATTTTCTGCAGGAATCTTATATACGCTATGCAGTTATATGAGGATCTTGAGTAACATCTTATTAGATTTTAGATATATTTTACCGGAAGCTTTCCAGAAAACAAAAGCGTCTGTTTTGTAAAGTGTAAGGCTGGTCATTTTTGCAAAAGAATTGATAAGGCATCAAGATAATTAGAAGCAGCTCATTCAGCCCATGAACTAGGGGGGAACTCACAGGGAACTAACACATTTCCTAAAAATAAGAGCCCAGCCGGGAACTAACAGGGAACCCACAGGGAACTCACAGGGAACTAACATATTTCCTTCCAGTACCAGCCAGTGATCCAGGCCGGGAACGAGAACACGGTGCGGCAGATGATCCTGTACGCATGCGCAGACCTGCAGGCACCAACCTACGAGGGCTACACCAGTGAGTGTCGTGCCATAACCTCTGAACTCAGCCAGAGATGTCTGGGTATCTTCGCCTTCTGGGCGCCAGGGGCCAAGGTAATTAGCACCTCTAACACGTTTCACTATTTTTTATCTTGTTGGCATCATGTTTTCTGGTGTTGAGCTGAAATCAAAGCGGGGAAACTGGTCTTTGCGAATATTTCGTAGACACTTAATTGGATACTTCTTTTTTCATTTTTACCACTTTTCGTTACATACCTTTATAAGAGTTCAATGCATTTAAGAATAACCTGAAATAAATCTTAGTAACAGAAATTCCTTTAAATACTAAACAATGATTAGTCAAATGCAAGCATTAATATATGATAATATAATTTTAAAGTTGCCACCATATATAATGTAATATTGTGGTTTTTATACTTGTCTAACCGAAGCCACGAAAAAATATTAAACTACACAAGTTTGTCTGTGTTATACATTAATCTACATGCGTACTATTTCCCCAGACCTTTGAGTTCCCTGAACACGTAGGGCGGTCTATTGGAACTGATGCTGTATATTTCAAGTTAGAGATAAAATACGCCAACACCCTTTTAAGAACAGGTGATTATAATTATATTTTTACATCATTTTTAAACTAACTCAAACTTGTTCAAACTCAAACTAGCGTCACTCCACTGGTACTACTGTAGGCTTTAGATATCGGCTACTTGGTTTATGATCTGACTTCTCCCAGCCAAAACTAGTTTTAGACATAACATCGCAAGGAATTAGACAAGAATTAGATATACACCAGTCTGGCGCAGTTGAGGCTCAATGCAATGTCTGATTAAACACACAAGTTAGAAACGTCTCAAATTATTCTCATTGTTTTGACACATTCTTGAATGACATACATTCCCAGATATTGTTGACAATTCCGGGTTCCGCCTGTTCTTGACCTCGACTCTCAGAGAACATGACGGTGGGAACCTGGGGCTCAGTCCCCTACACAGTGAGGTGACGCCATACGATGATTGGTACACGCGCATCCTCCCACCCAACACCCCGAGCTTCACGTCTAGGATCTACTGCCACAGATACTGTTTTAGGAAGGTAAACACAGTCTGTACTCCGTTATTGTCTCGTTAGTTCGTTGGCTGATGTAGAGCACTGAGCTTCACCTCTAGGATCTACTGCCACAGATACTGTTTTAGGAAGGTAAATCAACACACTATATACCCCATTATTGTCTCGTTAGTTCGTTGGCTTCACCTCTAGGGTCTACTGCCACAGATATTGTTTTAGGAAGGTAAATCATCACACTCTATACCTCTATTGTCTCGTTAGTTCGTTGGCTGATGTAGAACACTGAGCTTCACCTCTAGGATCTACTGCCACAGATACTGTTTTAGGAAGGTAAATCAACACATTTTATACCTCTTTATTGTCTCTTTAGTTCGTTCGCTTCACCCAGAGGCGTAGCGACCCTTCCCGGCACCCGGGGACAAACTTTCAATTTGGCGCCCCCCTCGGGAGCAAATTTTCAATTTGCACCCCCCCCCCTCAAACTTTCGATTTGCACCCCCCCACCTCAAACTGCAAAAATGTGCAGCTAAAATGACATATTAATTTGTTTTTACAACCCATTTTTGCGCCCCCTAAAGTCGGCGCCCGGGGACATATGTCCCCCCCCCCTGCCCCCCCCCCCTCCATCGCTACGCCTCTGGCTTCATCGCCAGGATCTACTGCCACAGATACTGTTTTAGGAAGGCAAGTCAACACGTTTGATACCCCTTTATTGTCTCGTTAGTCTACTGGTTCTTGTACAGCACTATTATACAGCCCTGTTCGTTTATAATTAGTCTTACCCACAATTTACTTTGGCATCTGTTGCTGATGCGTGCATGGAAAAATGTCACAAAAAACCTCAAGGAAAAAAGGGAAACACCTCGTAGGTAAAAGAGTGGGGAAAAACCAAACCAAATACTACACGAATTAGCACAACAGTACATTTACATGCACTTAATTAAGTGTCCAAACGTTTAATGTGCAACAATTATTTCTGGCTGTTTATCTAACCTCAGCCATCACTAGCCTAACGTATATTGTCCCTCTACGACTACTTGAATCTTTGAAGGTAATTTTGTTATTAAAAGAAGGAGACAAAAGAGAAAAAGAAATCTAATAATTTAAAATTCTCTACCCTTAACGACGGTACAACTATAACTATGGTTGATATATTAAGTTACCATTTCTCACATGGCGGTTTATAGCACAGATGAAGTAGAGTTCACCTATTTCCGTGACACCGACACAAATTGTTAGTGGGGTCAGTTCGAAGCATATTTAGCCTGTAAATCTATGGTGTATATGTTAGATGAATCTGAACAATATTTAGCCTGTAAATCTATAGTGTATATGTTAAATTAACTGAAGCATACTTAGCCTGTAAATCTATGGTGTATGTTAGATGAACCTGAATCATATTCACCCAATAAATCTAAGGTATATATGTTAGATGCATCTGAAACATGTTTAGTCTGTAAATCTATGGTGTAAACTTGTTTTTCAGTATCTAGCAGGGACCAACATTCACGTCTTCGCTTATGGTCTGAGCACAAATTCTCTTGGTAGAAAAATAAGGATCCGCCATTTTAGATACGGCGTGGAGTTGCCTCCCATTGTTGATGACAAGTTTTATGATTTCAATAATCAAGAGGTCAGAGTGCTGCCAAGGGAGGTCACCATAAAAAGTGTAAGTGTATTTTCCAAAGCTTCCTAAAACCCAAAGTATTTTGCTCATATATATGGTCAGTCTATATGAGTATGCAGATAGACAGTGTGTAATACACGTTAGTGATTGAACTGGATTGATTCACGGTCAAAATGTAATTTAGCACTGAGAAGCTCTAGTGATTAAATAACTAAAAAAATAAACAACATACTAAAAAAAAAGTGTAGAAGCTGGTCATCTGAGATCGGCCTAAGACCTCCCCCCCCCCCAGTCTGATCTATGGACAATAGAAATCTGAGGATTTTAAACCTGTTTAAAAATTATGATAGTTGTCATAGGTTATTTAAGTAATTACCCTAGTAATTCTCAAAGGTTAGATAAACGAATGAATCAAGTTGAATAGTTATATAACATCAACCGTTATTTCGGGAGCGTGTTTGGGGTGATTATTGTTACAACATTTTTTGTTTGATGTGATTGTTGTAGGACGTAGAACACATGTGAGTTTGTGTATGTGAGATTAGAACTCCTGCGTTAATTAATTAAAATTTAATCTTGCTTCTCTCATCAGACTGATTACCTAATTAATTAAAACTAAATCTTACTTCTCTCATCAGACTGATTACCTAATTAACTAAACCTAAATTGATTCTCTCACAAGACTGATTACCTAATTAATTAAAACTAAATCTCGTTTCTCTCATTAGACTGATTACCTAATTAATTAAAACTAAATCTTGATTCTCTCACCAGACTTATTACCTAATTAATTAAAACTTAATCTTGCTTCTCTCATCAGACTGATTTCCTTATCCTGGAGTGTGACTTCAGTTCTACCACCAAAAACAACATTACGTTTGTAAGATTTCAGTTGAAAATATTTTTAACTTATACTAGAAAAACTGTAAAAACTTTAATAATACGTGTTAAAATCTATGAACAAACTGTATAATGACATCATAAGGGTTGTTAATACATTAAATAAATATCGAGCTGTGACATAGATGACAAGTGTCGTTTGTGACATACATAACAAATGACGCGTTTTGTCATAGATGACATGTGTCGTGTTTTGACATTGACGCCATGTGTCATTTTGAGACATAAACGACAAGTATCGCGTTGTGACATAAATAGCAAGCTCCATGTTGTGACACAGATGACAAATGTTATGATGTGATAAATGACAACTATCGTGTTGTGACATTGATGACATGTGTCGTGTTGTGACATTAATGACATGTGTCGTGGGTTTTACAGGTTCAAGACTCCACTGGCATTGAAAAATGTACGGCGTTCCTCGAGTATTATCCTCGGGTGGGCCTGGTAGCCTGCACTAATAGGTAAAGTCAATCTAAGGTTAATCTGATTTTTTGTTAATCTCAGGTTAATCTGATTTTTTGTTAATCTCAAGTTAATCTGTTTTTTTATTAATCTCAGGTTAATCTGTTTTTTTTTGTTAATTTCAGGTTAATCTATCTCATGTAAATCTGTCATAAATAAAGTTATATTTATTTTAAATAAAATCAAATAATTTAATTTCCAGTTTTATTTCCTCTAATCACATAAAAAATAGACATATACCTCATACTGTCATTTCCTTACAACAAACCATGTTCTAACCATCTTGACCAAATGTACTGACCCATGACCTACACCCCCCCCCCCCCCCCCCAGCCCCGTGTTTATACGCGACAGATCCCTGGGCCTGTACAGCTGGCTGGACTATGGGTCCACACTCAACTGGACAGACCCTAACGCGGGGGTGGCGCTGCAGACCAAGGTGGACGACACTAGGGTGGCTAGTGCTTGTCTATGGGAGAAAACTCCGTACTGGGTACAGTTGTTTTTTGTATAAGGGAGATAACTCCGTACTGGGTACAGTTGTTTTTTTTTTATATGGGAGAAAACTCCGTACTGGGTACAGTAGCTTTTTGTATATGGGAGAAAACTTCGTACTGGGTACAGTTGTTTTTTGTATATGGGAGAATGTATGTGTATGGGTAAAGTTGATACAATAGTGTCTGTGGTGTAGTAGTGAAGGTCAAATTGTTGTGTTGTTAAATAGGTACGTGGTAAAATTTATAAGATGATCAAACGGGAGGTTTTTGGGGAAAAACAAATCGATGGTCATATCTTACTTCAATTACACATTTTCAAATGCTACCACTCGTTAAATACCAATTCATAAAACACCTGACGTAATACACCTGAGATAAAACACCTGACATAAAACACCTGACGTAAAACACCTGACATAAAACACCTGACGTAATACACCTGAGATAAAACACCTGACATAAAACACCTGACATAAAACACCTGACATAAAACACCTGACATAAAACACCTGACATAAAACACCTGACATAAAACACCTGACATAAAACACCTGACATAAAACACCTGACATAAAACACCTGACGTAAAACACCTGACGTAAAACACCTGACATAACACACTATTTTTCAGGACACATTCGGCATCAACAGGAAGCCTGTGATCAAGATGACGTACACACCACCTGACGTCTGCCCTGTCTAGAGATTTGTTCCTCACTAAATGCTGATCTAGTGAAGACATAATAAAATTTTTATTAATCTCGTGAGCTAAAATAGTTTGCTTTCACTGTTTAATTAGCGACTTGCATTCAGTCTAGAGTTGGTCCTGTTTTTCCAGATTTGGTTCTGTTTTATACAGATTTGGTCCAGTTTTGTCCAGATTTGGTTCAAATTTGTTCCAGGTTTGGTCCAGTTTTAGTTCCTCTAAGAAAATAACAAAATATTGAAAGATAAAGATTGTCACGTGAATATGACATTTCGTACTAACTAGGTCAATAGTTCCTTAGGTCTAGTTCGACTTTTTATTGCGAAATGCGTCCCCAAAGCAGAGAACTTTAGTCTCAAATATGGGCTTTGGTTCTGTAGTACTAGCTCAACTTTCTATTGCGAAATAAGTCTCACCAGAGGACCAGTCAGGTGATATGATCTTGACCCTGGGAGAGCTGGAGGTTGTAGGTAGTGAATGGTTCTCAAACTGTAACCAATTGTCTCAATATTTTCATGTTTCTCACTGTTGGAAAGTGTGGGTGTTTAGCCTTGTTACTGAAAGAATAACAAATCCATCACCGATAAACAGCCACCAGTGTAGTACCTATTGCCTAAAAGAGATTTTAAACTGTAGTAAAACTATGACTAAAGATTGAAGCTTGATGAGAATGAAAGAATAAAGAAAGGGTTGATAGATAGATAACCATGTAAGTTAGTTTAAGAAAAACAAACCATCGTTGTTATACGGATAAAACTTAACGAGTTATAAGGAAAAAATTTAAGAGAGTTTAAAATAAAGATCAGCATTGTTTGGAGAGGTCAAAACTTGCTGAAGGGGAAAGAAAGACCCCCGATATTTGAAGGGGACACAACAGTATGGTTTGAGAATCATCAAGACAGACCACCTTCTTATTTCTTCTTCTTCGTTCTTAATTTATTGTTGGAAGGTATCGAGCCTTATCTGCCAGAGGGTTTGAACTCGAGACTTTTTCGAATTTATCAACCATGAGCTATTGCCGACTCGACCACGCCTCCAACACAATTAAGCGTTACGTTAACTGGTTATGCGCCATTGAGGCCATTGACTCCGATTTCAGCCTGCTTTTCTTTTTGGATTGCTTCCATAACCTTTGTCCAACCAAGAACAAACTACAAGGCATCAGTTGTTTGATTATGGAGTTGTCTCTCCTAGAAGAGTGGCTGTCCCCAGCTAACGAGCCTCATCTGCCAGAGGGATCGAACTCGAGACTTACGGTTTAGCAACCATGAGCTTTTACCGACTCGACCACGCCGACCCCCTTGACTACCCATATTTGAAGGGGACACAACTCGCTGGTGTGAGAATCATTACGTGACGTGTGCAGCTTGAAGAATTTGTCTCATCACCCCAGACCAATGACCTTCACCTTCACGGGGTACTTGGTGATAATGTTTGGCTCTAGAAGATAAGTGAAGTTCTAGATAGACGGGGGGGGGGGGGGGGGGGGGGGTAAGATAAATCAGTCTGTGTATGTGTGTGTGAAAAAAGAAAGAGATTATCTAATCTTCGCTGAAAAAGCTTGTTTTTCTGAAGTAGATTACACTTATGGTGTACCATTTTCTGACCCCTCATCTTGGCGGCTAAAGTTTTATTATCAAACGTACATAAATTACTTTATTCTACTCTTTTGAGAAAGTTGACCAGTCTCAAATTATGTTGTAATCATCACTGTGTATAGCCTTTTACATAAGTACTAAGACATACACAAAAAAGCGTGTTTAGACTTGGACAAATTTTGTGTAGAAATGACATCGTGAATATTTGATTCCTGCACCTTTAGCTGAAAGAAATGTAAGTGAAAACTACAAAAATTGAGCTACTAGTCTTATGTGTTTGTCTACAGATCAAGTGTGGTAAAACAAAACTGATGAAAATAAAAACTAAAATTACAGTTACGACATGAGCTGGTGGAATGCAAGAGTTTGCAGACTTTAAATACTTTGGCAAATACAATGATGCTAATGGAACTAAACAAAGGAAATAGCATCAAGACTAGTTGACGTAGCCTGGGCCTTCAATAGACTCAGAAAAAAATCTTGAAACCATCCCAACCGCAGCAAAAATCCTAGATGAAGATTTGAAAACCAAACATACATGCAGTCATCTGTGTTGCAGAAAGGCAGAAGTTGAACAAGACAGAAAGCCTCTCAGAGATTTCGAGGGTCGTTGGCCTGAACCCATTGTGAAAGAAGTAAAAGATTATCTAATCTTTGCTTAATAACTTGTTTTTTTCTGAAGCAGATTACAGCTATACAGTACCAGCATCTGACCCCACATCTTTGCGACTAAATTTTGATAACCAACTTACATAAATTAGGGTTAGATATTGCCTTCTCTTCTAAGGTCGAATATTAATAAGAGATAAAAGGAGGACCGGACTACACGATATTGTGTGTGAAATAAAAGCAAGGAGGTGGCGATGGTTTGTTCAGGCTTGCGAATGTCAAAGAAGTCTCCACAACATGGCACTAAGGTGGAATCCACCTGAGTGAAAAGAGAGAAAGGCCTTATGGGAACGTGGAGGGGAGAGATGGAAGAAGAAGCGCTGAGCACAGGCTATACCTGGCATCAACTCATAGGCTGTATACCAGTGGCTGAGAATTGAGTACAGTCTAAATTAACTTTTACTACCAAAAAAGTTATTTCCGTGTACAAATAATAAACCTAAACAAAGGATGGTGAAAGAAGAGAAACTAAAAGGTTACAACTGTTTAGATTTGAAAGATTGATCTTAACACATGTTTGCTAATACATGCGTTGAAACGTACATTGCGCATGTTTGTTGTTTCTATTTAAATCATGCAATACATTTGATAATTTCTGCAATAAATTAATTTAATACAGCTTCTTACATAGCCATACATATTGGGATTAATGGGCGTATTAATTATTTTTAAATTGTTTTGCTTTATAATTTAGAACATTTCAAAACAGAAATCAAAGATTATATTTCTAAGCCGAAAAACTACTAATTTTGATATTTATAAAGTAGTTTGACCACAGTTATTATTCCAATCTCAAGTTTAAAACGCCCACTCCATTTGTCAGCATTTCAAACACGGATGGTACTGAAACCTCGCATGTCGTAAAACAAATGTTTTTTCCCCGACAAAATGTTAAATATATACTTAAGTCAATGTAGCACACAAATAAATCGCAAGTAAGCTTCAAATTTTTTCAAACCTTAAATTGGCAGTCTGATAAAATTATTACAATAAATTACCTTTGACTTAGTTTTATTTTCTTATCAACCATTGTAAGTCCCCCCCCCCTCCTCTTGCCCACTCAAGAACGACTTCGGAGATATTTAAAGGCACACTTTGCTACTGCTTTCAAAATTTTCTCTCAGTTCATTTCTTGACGCTTGTCACGACAGGTAAAGTCATTTTTCTTGATAGTTTAATTATGTAATCTTAAGGTAAAACACAAACACAAGTAGAATGTAATACAATATTTCGATTGGTCGAATCAGGGAATGCTGCATTAATGCAGTGACTGTGGAAGCATAGGTCTTTACGTTCAATTTCTCCAGCTAAAAAAAGCTTTTAAAACTTTAATATATATATATATATATATATATATATATATATATATATATATATATATATATATATATATATATTTGTATAATAAATCGTCTTAACATATACACAAATCTTCAGATCTGGCAATGAACTACTGTGCGGTACTAACACTCCTTACACTGACGTCATGTGCAGGGTTGTCCCTACCCCCAGCACCCCCTGTTGACGGTGAGCTCTATAATGTCAATGTTGTTTGTACGTCTAGACATCAGTAAATAAACACAATGTTGTTTGTACGTGTTGTGCTGTCGTGTCTAGAGACCAGTAAATAAACACAATGTTGTTTGTACGTGTTGTGCTGTCGTGTCTAGAGACCAGTAAATAAACACAATGTTGTTTGTCCGTCTAGACACCAGTAAATAAACACAATGTTGTTTGTACGTGTTGTGCTGTCGTGTCTAGAGACCAGTAAATAAACACAATGTTGTTTGTACGTCTAGACACCAGTAAATAAACACAATGTTGTTTGTGCTGTCATGTCTAGAGACCAATAAATAAATACAGTGTCTTGTCTCACTAGGTCAACTGTCCGCTGATAAACTGACCTACCATGTGGAACTGGACCCCAACTATAACCTCTTCTGGAACTTTAATTCCTCGCACATTATGTTTAAGACAGTGGTCAAGACAAATGGTCAGTTTTGGTAGAACATAGCTTTTAAAAAACACTATATATACTCTTGCTATGAAATATTGATTGTACATTTATTGAATGTTTTTGTTGAATGCTGTAGGCTACATAGGGTTCGGTATTTCATCCAATGGCGCCATGACAGGCGCTGACGTTGTGATTGGATGGGTCAAGGACGGTCAGCCTCATTTTGCTGTAAGTTTTTAAGCTTCTGTCTTTCCATTCTAAAATATATGTCGATAGCATTACTGTGTATATAAATCCGTGGTTATGTATGCACATTAATATAAATGTTATTAATATATTGAAAAATTATAATTACATAGACAACTGTATATAAATGTGTTACAATTCTGCAAATAACAAATCCCACATATGCCTGTGTCCCAGGATCGACACGCCGAAGGAAACTTCTTGCCTGCTATTGATGCCATCCAGGACTGGAGTCTGGTCTCAGCTGCTGAATCTGGGGAATACACAACCTTGATCTTTGTCAGGAAACTCGTCACCTGTGACCCTGATGACCTGCCCATCACTGTACGTGTTCCCAGACAATAATCGCCCGGTCTTAATAATAAGTGCTTCACACCTACATAAACATGTTGATGTATTTTAGAGACGATAGTAGCATAAAAACTTGAACCCGTGGTGTTTTAAGTTATATACCCATTTACGAAAATTAAAATAACCTACCAGTTGCTTATATCATCATATTAGAGATTATTAACTCGATAACTTGTATTCCGTAGAACGGAACGACCCGGGTTATTTTTAGCTACAACCCGAACGACCCAGCCTCCGATACCACGGTCATGTACCACGGGTCATCCAGACGAGGCGTCAAGTCCATTTTGATGCTGGACCCTCCTTCAAGCGAGACTAACCTGAAACCACTGCCCGATGACGTCATCACCATCGACTTCATGAACGTCAATGTAAGTTGTGCTCATTTATCATGCTGGTGTATTCATACAGGACACACACAATTATGTATACATACAGGACACACGCACTCAATGGTGTATACATACACGACACACGAACTCACACACGCTGAGACACACACACACATACGCACATTCACTGAAATACTGTCACACACATAGGCAATATACAGACAAAAATAAATACATATAAATATTTAAAGGCCTATGTGTATATATAAACATGTCCAATAAAAGTATATTGTATTAATATATCAGCTTTTTCTGAGCATGTAGTCAGATAGTGTAAGAAAACTGCGAGCTCACAGAAAATGTTTTGAATTAACATTTGCCTATATCGAGACAATATTACTATGCTAGTTTTATTGCTAAGCACTGCACATGTTGAGAGAAAAATGTTTTTACAAAAAGCAGTTCAAAGTTAATCATTTCATCCTATATTTTAAACTACTTATGTCCCCTTTCCCTCCTGATAATTGCCTCCCCTTGTTTGACCAGTTTACCGTACCTGCGACAGACACCTATTACAGGTGTACCATGTGGAAGCTACAGGACTTGGGACAGAAGCATCACATGATCAGGGTAAGTCTGTCACATCTCTACCCCCGGGCTTGTTGACACAACTTCCACAATCACGATTTAAAATCTCATTTAATATTTGAAACAGTAAACCAATATGTTGATTAAGCTACGGATTTATTTTTTTACGTTTGAAGTTATTTATGATAGAGAAATAAGTGCAACAATTTTTATGATACTTTAATAGTTGGTTTTCCTGTCTAAAGAGTTGTTGTTCCTTCTAAAAGAGTTATCGTTCCTGATAACAGCGTTAAGAAATAAGGAAAAATAAATATTCAGTGTGGTTAACTCTGAAAAAAATGTAACAAAAAATGACTGACTTAACCCCCCCCCCCCTCCCCCCGTCCAGTACGATCCAGTGATCGAGCCCGGCCACGAGCAGCTGGTCCACCACATCCTGTTGTACTACTGCCCCGGGGGGTTCGACGACAAGTTCCTGGGTACGTCATTCAGGTGTTATGACGACACACCTGCGGAGCTGGCCGAGTGTGAGCATGTGTTTATTTCCTGGGCCATCGGTGGACAGGTGAGTTGATAAGTTCAACAGGTGGGTTGGTTAGTTAGACAGGTGAGTTGATTAGTTGGGTTGGTTAGTTGGACAGGTGGGTTGATTAATTCAACAGGTGAGTTGATTAATTAGACAGGTGAGTTGATTAATTAGACAGGTGAGTTGATTAATTAGACAGGTGAGTTGATTAATTAAACAGGTGAGTTGATTAGATGGACAGGTGGGTTGATTAGTTGGACAGGTGAGTTGATTAATTAGACTGGTGGGTTAGTTAGTTAGACAGGTGTTGATCTATTTTAAGATAGGTGAGATTATTTGATCCATTGTGTTTAACGTAAAGGTTAGCTGACATCATAGAAATTGTTTTTTTCTCGATTCCACTCATGTAACACACAGTTTAGATAAACGTGCATGCACTAATTACCATACTAATTGATTAGGTGTTCAACTACCCTGATGTCGTTGGACATTCTCTGGGAGCGACCAACGATCCCTTGTATTTTAGAATGGAAACCCATTACAATAACCCTGACCTCAGAACGGGTAAGATGTCATCTCTAAACTTCCTGCTTTTGTATGACAGATGTCATCTCTAAATTTCCTGCTTTTGTATGACAGATGTCATCTCTAAACTTCCTGCTTTTGTATGACAGATGTCATCTCTAAATTTCCTGCTTTTGTATTACAGATGTCATCTCTAAACTTCCTGCTTTTGTATGACAGATGTCATCTCTAAATTTCCTGCTTTTGTATGACAGATGACATCTCCAAACTTCCTGTTTTTGTATGACAGATGTCATCTCTAAATTTCCTGCTTTTGTATTACAGATGTCATCTCTAAACTTCCTGCTTTTGTATGACAGATGTCATCTCTAAATTTCCTGCTTTTGTATTACAGATGTCATCTCTAAACTTCCTGCTTTTGTATGACAGATGTCATCTCTAAATTTCCTGCTTTTGTATTACAGATGTCATCTCTAAACTTCCTGCTTTTGTATGACAGATGTCATCTCTAAATTTCCTGCTTTTGTATGACAGATGACATCTCCAAACTTCCTGTTTTTGTATGACAGATGACATCTCTAAACTTCCTGCTTTTGTATTACAGATGTCATCTCTAAACTTCCTGCTTTTGTATGACAGATGTCATCTCTAAATTTCCTGCTTTTGTATGACAGATGTCATCTCTAAATTTCCTGCTTTTGTATGACAGATGGCATCTCTAAACTTCCTGTTTTTGTATGACAGATGACATCTCTAAACTTCCTGTTTCTGTATGACAGGTGTCATCTCTAAACTTGCTGTTTTTGTGTGACAGATTGTATCTGGTATCTCTTCCCCGTTAACTTATTGGTCAGATTGTGTCTTTAATATTCTATTGTTGTGGTGGATTTTATTCCTAAACCGTACTATTTTGTGCCAGATTTTGTCGACAATTCCGGAATCCGAATGTATCTGACGAAGCAACTGAGACAGTACGACGCAGGGATGATTGAGGCAGGGGTCGCCGTGAACCCCTTCCATGTGATCCCTCCCTACGAGAAAAGTTTCCTTTCAGCAGGTTACTGTAGTCCCGAGTGTATAGAAGAGGTCAGTACTCGTTTTTACCTGTCTATAGTCTCAATAGACAAGTACTCCTATTTACCTTTTAGTTCAATGGTTGCATGTTTATTCCTATACTTTAGTAATGCTGGTCTTTAAAAAAATATTGATAGTTTTTTTTTTAAATTTGGCTACCCTTTTTATTGTTTTATCTGGCAAACCTTCCAATTTTAGTCTCTGGGTGACACTGAGATTCGCGTGTTCGCGAACTTCCTGCACGCCCACCTCCTTGGCCGGAAGCTGCGCACACGCCACGTCCGTAATGGAGTCGAGTTGCCTCCCTTAATGGAAGACAACAACTACGATTTCAACTACCAAGAAACAAGGATGCTGAAAGAAGAACGAGTAATCAAAAAGGTAACTGGTAGAAAGAATGTAATTTTAAAATATTGTAAATGTTTCTGTACTTGAAAATAAATTTTCAACAAAATTACGAATGGGGGGAGGAGCGAAGTAGATATGGGTTTGATCTCAGCCGTAAGGAGTTTGCGTCTAAATTCCTGTTTTACTAGTTTAATTTTTCTACTGCTATCACACAGGGAGATACGCTGATCGTGGAGTGTGACTACGACTCAACAGGGAGGACTGGAATTACCTATGTGAGTTATGCATCAAGTTGATTACACCTATGTTAGAGGCTTATATAAAGTTAGACACAGCTATACTTTATTTTATTTTATTTTTTTATTTTTTTTATTAATTCAATTTTGTTTTAAACATTTAAATCAGTAATAGTAATATATTTGATAGATTTTACACAGCATCAAAGACATGAACAATGAACATCAATTGCATATATAATAATCAAAGGGAGAAAATAAAATGGAATAAGAACTAGATTAAAATAAGGTGTGCAAACTAGGCAAACAACACAGCTACACAAGTTTTAAAGTTAAACTGTTGTTAATTATAGAAGTCAAGGGCTAGAACGAACGAAATTTATATTTTCACAATGTGTATTTTTTATTGTGGTAGTGTTTGGTGTTATGTTGTATATCCTGCTACGTTTTGTACAAGTTTAACAAAATTAAGAATTTTTTCTTAATATATGTATTGTTTTCGCTGATAGTGTTTTTTGTGTGCCTGGTAATACATTTGTTATACGCCTTGTAGAGTTGTTGTTCCTTCTAATGGATTTGTCGTTCCTGCCAATAGAGTTGTTGTTCCTTCTGATAGAGTTATTGTTACTGCTAATAGAGTTATTGTCCCTGCTAATAGAGTTGTTGTTCCTGCCAATAGAGTTGTTGTTCCTTCTGATAGAGTTATTGTTCCTGCTAATAGAGTTATTCTACCTGCCAATAGAGTTATTTTGCCTGCTAATAGAGTTATTGTTCCTGCTGATAGAGTTATTGTTCCTGTTAGTGTACCCATGTATCTACCTATAGGGAGGTCTGAAGACGACCTACGAGATGTGTCTGTCCTTCCTACTGTACTACCCCCGGGCTCCACTCACTCGATGTCTGACCAGGTAGTTCACTCCTCAAACAAAAAACTATTTATTTAACTATTTCACTCATCACACAAATGACCTTTTATTTATCCAACTATTTCACTCATCACACAAAAAACTTTTTATTTATCCAACTATTTCACTCATCACACAAATGACCTTTTATTTATCCAACTATTTCACTCATCACACAAAAAACTTTTTATTTATCCAGCTAGTTCACTAATCACACAAAAAACTTTTTATTTATTCAGCTAGTTCACTCATCACACAAAAAACTTTTTATTTATCCAGTTAGTTCACTCATCACACAAATGACCTTTTATTTATCCAACTATTTCACTCATCACACAAAAAACTTTTTATTTATCCAGCTAGTTCACTAATCACACAAAAAACTTTTTATTTATTCAGCTAGTTCACTCATCACACAAAAAAACTTTTTATTTATCCAGTTAGTTCACTCATCACACAAATGACCTTTTATTTACCCAGCTATTTCACTCATCACACAAAAAACCTTTTATTTATCCAGCTATTTTACTCACCACACAATCAGTGTTTCTTCCAGACTTTTTCTCCGGAAGGGGGGGGGGGTGGCACTTGAAATTTTCGGGGAGGGGGCGCTTAACATTTTTCGGGGGGGGGGGGGGGGGGGACACACACTAGTAAAAGTGTATGTTTACTATATAAAATCCATCTCGTTCAGGGGGGGGGGGCGGTAGACTTTCTTCGGGGTAAGCTCCCCCCCCCCCCCCCCCGAAGAGGTGTCTGGAAGAAACTCTGCACACAATTAATCGGTTACAACAATAATATAAACAATCGTACAATAATTATAATTAGAGTTATATCTTATCTGTTATTAAAAACGACAACAATTATATTTTAAAACACACACCACAGCCAAACTGGTGCACAAAGATAGCCTCATTGGGCCACAAACACAGCCAAACTGGACTACAACATTTAACTATGTGCTAATTTTAATGCCATAGCCAGTCTTTAATTCTGACTTATTCCTCTACCAGGATAGACTACATCTCCCCCTTCACTGAGCAGGCGTTCTTTGGGGTGGTCAACACGCTAGACTGGACAAACTCCACCATTAGGGACGGATTTAAACAAGTTATTGACGCCTCCGATCTATACGACATCTGCTGGGTCGATAGCAAAACACAACAGGTAGTGTTTGGTTTACCTAGATACTGTTTATTTTAAAACAAATCCGTAAAACATGTTGTCAAGCTTACCTCAAGTTCGTAGGACGTTCCTGAGTTCACCCACCTGTGACGGGTACCTGAAACATGTTAGGAAAAGTACAGGCGGGAAGGTATTGTACGGACCTCACTATTCTTTCATATGCCGAAGTCACAAAAACAGGCTACCTACTTAATTCTGTCCCAGCGATTTCCAATTTGGAAAGAGTAGCTTTACTTTTTCCCAACACATTGGGCGTGTATTCGCCTGCCCAATCTGAAGAGTAGTATTAAAATGTTTTCAATCAATATACATAAATGCTGTATTCTAAAAATAGTTAACGACATAATTGTGTATATTTGAAGTTTTTAGAGATGTTAGCGTATGATTGTGAATGATTGTTTTAAGAAATGTGTATGCTTGATGTACTTATAATATGTATTTGGAAGTGTGAAGTATTGGTTTGTTTTAAATATGTGTATCTATGTGTACAAATAATTAGTGGGTGTCATCGTTATATGTGGTCATGTAGTTTTATGTATAAGATTTATGACCGTTGTAAATTAGTTTTTGTATATAACAAACATAAGTTATATTAAATTCATGAGGTTTATATTCCCTTTTCAATTCCAGAGCCTGTTCAAGAGAACAAGACCAACCATTACTCAGACCTATCAACCCACTAACCAATGCGGGAACTAATCCAATGTAGTCGAAACTCTTGAAGTGACTGAACTTTAATAATCTCAAAAATAAAAACTAAGATTGAAACAAAGTTATCTTGTTTTGTATAGCTCAGTGTCTAATTGTTTGATGCAGTATTGTACATGACTTTTTGTATTTAGTTTGATTGTAATAAGTGGTTGCTTAAAAAGACATCGAATAACAATCACATGTCGTTTAAACAAAACATTTGAGACAGCCCAGCAAATTATGCTTTAGAGCACACTATGAAGAATGGACAACGGTACTCGCCGACTTACATTTAAAAAATTATTTATGTACTGTTAAAAATAGTTTTATATAATTAAAGTTGTGCGACTGCATAAAACCACGAATATTCTATTTTAAGATAATTGCCTGTCTCAAATCAGTAAATGAGAGCAATGTAATCATAACGCTGATCATTTCTATTTCCTAACAAAGCACCTACACTGAACAACTAGCAGAGAGTATTCAATGTTTTGAGTGGAGAAACTCACAGTTACTGCTGGTTTTGGTTCATTTATTTATTTTCGAACATGGCGGCAATGCCCCAAATACGCTAATTGTTTGGAAATTAGTTGCATGGCAGGCAATAGCTGGACATTTATGGTTAACTATAGCAATTCGTTGAATGAAAAGATATCAGCTTTTGAATTGGCAACCAAATACCAATATATACCAGGTAGGAAACCAAATAAAACAAACGAGAATATTAAGACGCCAAACTACACAGGCCTGAAGTCGACAAATGCGCAAACGGTAATTAATCTAATCTAGCTAACATGAGAAAAAGACATAGTAAAATGGTTTTTGATTGAAACCCCCAATCCTCCTCCAACACCACCTCACCCCTCCAACACCACCTCTCCCCACCCCCACTCACTCCAACACCACCTCACCCCTCCAACACCAACTCTCCCCCCTCCAACACCACCTCACCCCTCCAACACCAACTCTCCCCCCTCCAACACCACCTCCACCCTCCAACACCAACTCTCCCCCCTCCAACACCACCTCACCCCTCCAACACCAACTCTCCCCCCTCCAACACCACCTCACCCCTCCAACACCAACTCTCCCCCCTCCAACACCACCTCCACCCTCCAACACCAACTCTCCCCCCTCCAACACCACCTCACCCCTCCAACACCAACTCTCCCCCCTCCAACACCACCTCACCCCTCCAACACCAACTCTCCCCCCTCCAACACCACCTCACCCCTCCAACACCAACTCTCCCCCCTCCAACACCACCTCACCCCTCCAACACCAACTCTCCCCCCTCCAACACCACCTCCACCCTCCAACACCAACTCTCCCCCCTCCAACACCACCTCACCCCTCCAACACCAACTCTCCCCCCTCCAACACCACCTCCACCCTCCAACACCAACTCTCCCCCCTCCAACACCACCTCGCCTCTCCAACACCAACACCACCTCCACCCTCCAACACCATCTCCCCCCCCCCCCCCCCTCCAACACCAGCTCTCCCCGCCCAACGAAAGAAAAAAGTAGCTGAGCCGAAATAAAAAAACATTGAGTTGACAGCGACCAAAAAAAGACTGAAATGTCATGGACCTGCTGTGCCATAAGACGAGAAGTCACTATGTCCCTCTGCTTCACAGTAGATCCGCTGAAATAACGGTAATATATCAACAAAAATCGATGTATTCCCTTATAATTTTTGGAAATTTTTTTAAAATACCACAGAGGCTTAACCTGTAAGAGAGCGTACATTCTTCTTAGTTATTATTTGTGTAAATCGGCGCTGTTCATAAATTTGTTTAATAAAAAAAATCAAATTTTGAAATATTATTCATAATATGTAAAAAGTCAAAAGTAGACGCATTTTGAAACACTCGACTCTTTCCTGCCCCATAAACCTGGCAAAGTTCGTCACATGCCGGTTTGGTTTATAAAAAGACAATAGCATTAGTGACGGGTTTTTTGTATGTTTTATCTCCTCCCAGTTAAAGCGCGATAACTACTTGTCTTAAGATCAGTGGCGTTTAGTACTTTGTTATCTAGAGTGCTGGATACTGAAGTGGTAATGGGAGTTTTCCCCATTCAAATCGGTCAAGTAGAGAAAACCAGGTTTAAAAATGATAGGATGACAACCCAGTTTTTTAAGGAGAGAGTGAGGTAGGGGGGGGAGGGCTAATATGGAGCGAACAAGTATCCTTTCAGATGGCTAGGTCTTATGCAGCAGATTACTTCTATGTTGGAATTCCGTTGGCCCTATTCCATTGCGCACATTAGTAATTTGCTATACTGAGCAAACCAGTATGGTGTAAGCTGTGATCACACAGATCAAAAATAACAATCAGTAGTTGGCAAACAATTTTTATATCAACATATATAAAATGTGATGGCGTGTTTGGGCGGTAGAGCGCTCGAAAATCTGGAGTCGGGTATCAGGCACGAATCTGTAGGCCACCCTGCTCTAATGAGTATCAGTTACGGTAGGAAAAGTAAAGACGGCTATGTATAGAAATGATCACACTATCGGTATATATACCGATGTCACAGAAATAGATTAACTCTACTTCATCTGCACTATGGACCGACAAGGTCCAAAAGTGTAACTTACTTGTTTAAAACACAAATGACATTTTAAAAATAATAAAAGTTATACTACTAATCTCATTAAATAGACCAAGTTCTTGGAGTGATTTTAACATAAAAAGTAGAACATCTAGGTACGATAAAACATCTAGGTATTATTTCGCAATGTCGAACTTGCAAGACCAGGTGAACTGCAGCAGAAAGGCCAACACAATTAATCTTGGTGACTAAAGACTTGATGATCAGTACTAAAGGGCCACAACCAATGTTGTTGACTTGATATCATCGCCACATGAATCACTGATAACGGTTCTTGTTGTGTGGAGCAAGGGTGATAATCTAAGCTCAACGGGAACTTTACGGGAGAGTGGTAACTTTGTATTTTGAGAGTCGGGAAATTGGGGGTGGAGGTGATGGTCTTTAGGTATAGGTAGTGACAAATGCAATTAGGAACGGCTTAACTCCTTAATGCCTGAATTATGTTCTAAGCGTGTAAAAAAATATTTGTGCTGATTTTCTCTCATCATACTGACACTGAATTTGAGGTATATTAATGTTTTGAAATTCGGACATATTTTTTAAGCTAATTACGGTATGTCGCGAATTCGCGACAACAGGCACTAATGGACAAAACGATAATTTTTTTTTTTTAGTCCGGGTCATTTTACTATTTTCACTGTCACCTGTTTCTCTAAATATCCACGTACAAACAGTAGAATATCACAAACTAAACACATGGACATGCAAGGATATGTAGACTCACTTGCACAATTCATGAAAACTAAAGTTTAGTAGCTCAAGCATAGAGTTACATAAATCTGCTGCACCTGCTCACTGACTAACTCTTATGAATGGTTACTTTGAAGCCTTGCTATCGTGGTTCTACTACACCTCAGTAACACACTACATACGAAAGGACTTCCTTAAATGTGTATATCTATAGTTGTCCATAGTTACGACCTTTTCATGAACTCCTATTCAAGGTCAACTAATAAAGACGCATATTTCTCATTTGACCTATATTTGCTATACACACAAAGCACCTGAACAAATACTGTCAAATAATGACAGTGTTCAGCCATTGTATATTCGTCCATGCTTAATGCAGCTGCTGTGGGTACTCAGTGCCACTGCTATTGTTGATTGTACTCAATATTTCTGATTTTGGTACTACATGCTACTGCTATTGTACTCGAGTGACACTGCTATGGATTACCAATGACAGTGCTGTAGCTACACATTGCCACTGCTATGGGTGCTAAGTGTAAAGCCATGTTTACTGAGTGCTGATGTTGTGGCTCTAAGTGTTAATGCAGTCGGTTCTTTGTGTCACTGCTGTGGGTACTCAGCACTGGCGCTGTTGGTAATCGATAATATTGCTATGGGTACTCAGTCTTAGCAATGAGTACTCAGTATCACTGCTGTGGGTACTAAGTGCTGAATCCGTGAATGCTCAGTGTAAATGATGTTGGTACTGAGTGCTGAAGATATTGGTACTCGATAACACTGCTGTCGGTACTAAATGCTAGTATAATACCACTAGGTTCCCAGTGAGATGCGCACACAGAAAAAAGCGCACACAGAAAAAAAGCGCACACAGAAAAAAGCGCACACAGAAAAAAGCGCACACAGAAAAAAACGCACACAGAAAAAAGCGCACACAGAAAAAAGCGCACACAGAAAAAAGCAACAAACGTCAAAATATCCAATCTAGGCCATATTCCGAGCACCAGATAAAGGTGTTACAACATGACCTAGCCTTGACTTAGACCTTACATCACTAGTGTACCGGCGTGACCAACCGCTACCCTGCAACTACAGCACTATTTAAACTAAACCCTTTACAGAAAACAACAGACTCTTCGCTCTACCCGAAAGTGAAGACCAGGTAGGCTTATGTATACATGTCAGATTTTCTTTAATGACAAAGTGTCTTGAGGAGACACTGTCCTAAAGACACGATTTCTCAATTACAATATGTCTTAATGGCGAAATGTCTTAAGAAAAACTTGAAGACAAATAGTCTTAAAGACAAACTGTTTTAGAATACAAATTGTCTTTATGACGAAATGTGTGTAGGATGAGGCTGATTAACAACAGTATTTAGATAGCCCTCAGCTCTCGCAGTTTCAATTTACTCTTACTCGCAACATCGCTTTGATTTACGTCGGTTCATGCAGAAAAGGAACAGATGCGTAAAATTCGTACAAGTATCAGTTTCAGGAAAAATGACCAAAATAAAATATTCGAAAATAAATCTTTATATTTGTTTACATAAATGTGTTTGGTGTAATATTTTAGAACATTTATTTCAGTAACCGAGAATGTGTAATTATACCATGACCTCAGCCAGTAACGTTGTAATACTACAACTATATTGCAGAGAGATGATGCTGTACTGTGTTGTGTTGTTCACCACCGTGGTGACGTTATGTCATGGGCTGTACGTTCCCCCCGCACCCCGTGCTGATGGTAAGTACTTACTTACTTAATCCTCATCACTCCCTGTGGAGTATAGGGCAGCAACAAATCTCCGCCATTCCACCCTATCCTGGGCGAGCCACTTTAGTTCATGCCATGTTTTGCCAGTAGCCTGTACTTCTTCTTCCATCTCCCTCCTCCATGTTCCCAGTGGTCTTCCTCTATTTCTCTTTCCGGGTGGGTTCCACTTCAGCGCCATGTTGGGGAGTCTTTTTTTGCTCATGCGTAGGACACGGCCCAGCCATCTCCATCTCCTCGTTCGAACGTCTGAGACAATGTCGTTTAATCCTGTCCTTCGCCATATTTCCTTGTTCGGGACTTTGTCGTCCCACTTTATCCTGAGGATGCGTTGGAGGGATCTTCTTTCAAAGCCTCTGAGTCGGCTCTCTCCTTTCTTGTTTAGTTTCCATGACTCTGCAGCATAGAGGAGTACAGAACGTACATTTGACTTATAGATCCTTATTTTAGTTCTCTGCTGCAGTGAGGATGATTTCCAGACCTTAGCGAGTCTGTTGAAAGCTTGTGCTGCCATTGCTATTCTGGTGGCAATTTCTTTCTCCATGCTGCCATTTGCTGATATATAGCTGCCGAGGTACTCAAAGTCTTCGACCTCTTCTAGCTCTGCTCCATTCGCAAAGGTCTTGAGAGCACTTTTGGTTTTTATTTTCATTAGCTTGGTTTTTCCGGAGTTTATCTTTAGCACAACGCTTTTGGCAATTTGCTCTATTCTTGTGGTTTTTGCTTGGATGTCTTTTTGGGCATGTGAAAGTAAAGCCAAGTCATCAGCAAAGTCACAGTCCTCTAGGTGGTTGGTAAGTTCCCAAACAATTCCTCTTGGCTTATCCTCAGTGGCTCTTCTCATAATCCAGTCGATTACTACCAAAAAGATGACAGGTGAGATGACACAGCCCTGTCTGACCCCTGTTTTTACCTTGAACCATTCACTTTGCTGATTTTCGTGTCGCACACAGCATTGGTTATCATAGTACATGTCCTTAAGTATGTTTATGACTTTTCCTGGAAAGCCATATAACTCTAGTATCTTCCATAATGATGGATGGTGGATGCTATCCAATGCTTTCTCGAAATCTATGTAGTTGATGTAGAGAGACGAATTCCACTCCAGTGACTGTTCCACTATAGTGCGCAAGACAAATATTTGGTCGTTACATGACCTGTTGGCCCTGAAGCCAGCTTGTTCTTCACGAAGGATCCCATCAATTCCTTTCCTCATTCTTTGTAATAGGACTCTGCAGAAGACTTTTCCTGGTACTGACAGAAAAGATTAATGCCTCTCCAGTTCTCACAAACATTAAGGTCGCCCTTTTTGGGTAATTTGATAATGATTCCCCGTTTCCAAGAATCTGGGACTTTTTCTTCATTCCATACTTTATTAAAGATCCCTGATAGAGTTTCTGCACCTATTTTCGGGTCTGCCTTTAGCATCACAGCAGTGATTCTGTCCTCTCCTGGAGCCTTATTGCTTTTTGTTTTTTGGATAGCTTCTATTATTTCTTGTTCTAGGATGGGTCCTCTATACATTTCAAAATGTATGTTCATGTCAGTGAAGTCAGCAGTTTCTTCTGGGTCTGGTCTGTTTAGGGTCTCTTCGAAGTATTCAGCCCATCTTTTCAATTGATGTTTCTCCGTTGTAAGAACTTTCCCGTTTTTGTCCTTGATAGTAGATGATCTATTTGCTATTCCTCCCGTTAGAGTCCTGATAATCTTGTAGACTGTTCTGCTATCTCCCTTATCAGCTGCAGCCTGTGCTTCTGTGGCCATTGTGTCTACATAGTTCCTTTTATCCTTCCTAGCATTCCTTTTTACCTCTTTTTGCAGTCTTCTATATTCTACATCGTTCCGTAGCCTGCTTTCCATGGTTCCAGGTAGTGTTTTGATTTTGGCTTCTCTTCTCTTTTCAATGAGATTCCAAGTATCGTTTGAGATCCATTCCTTCCTTTGTTTGTTCCTGTGTCCTAGTATGCATTGGCTTGTTTTCGTGTATACATCCAGGATCTTCTCGCATTGAGTGTTGGTGTCCTCTTCTGGTAGGTTCTCGAGTAGACTAAATCTATTTTTTTAGTTCAATTGCGAAGTTTGCCTTAATGGTGGGATTTTTTAGTTTAGCTGAGTCAAATAGCTGGTGGTTTACTTTCCTGTCGACTCTCTTAAGCTTAAGTTGTAGTTTGCACAAGACTAGATAATGGTCGCTACCCACGTCAGCTCCTCTTATTGCCTTTACATCCCTCATGGATTTTCTCCACTTTTTATTTATAGCAATGTGATCGATTTGATTGCTGGTTCGTTTATCTGGGGATATCCATGTGGATTTGTGCATTTCTTTGTGCTGAAATAAGCTGCCACCTATAGCCAGACCATTTTCTAAGCAAATCTCTCTAAATCTTTGGCCGTTGTTGTTTGCCTCTCCCAGCCCCTCCTTACCCATACAGAGCTCGTATCCTTGGTTACTGGCTCCTATTTTTGCATTCATGTCTCCCATGACCACAAGAATGTCATGTTGTGGAGTCCTGTTGATTTGATCTTGTAGAGTGTGGTAGAACATGTCTGTGTCTTCATCCTTTGCTTGTTCTGTCGGGGCGTAGAATCTGGCTCTAAGAATGCGAGAATTGATTGGTTCCCACCCTATTAGACTTTTCCTTGATATTTTATCCATGATAATACCAACTCCTTCCTGGTGTTGGTTATCAGATCTCCCAGAATAGATTATAGTTTCTCCTGACCCGAGTGTAGTCAGGCCTGAGTCTGTTCATCTCATTTCTCTTATACCCAAGATGTTGATCTTGACATTTCCTTGACCACTTGAGCTGTTTTGCTAGTTTCGTACATGGTACACACATTCCAAGCTCCTATTCGTGTAATAATTTTGGGGGTTACTAAGGACTGTTTCAGAGTAGAGACTTCCTTGCGGCTTTCACCTAGACTCGTCATATCAGGCAAAGCTGCCTCGGTCCTCGGTTGCTCTCCCATGATGGTTTGATTTAGATCTGTTGCCGTTTCTGTAGCGTTTTTGTTTTTACATGGTGGGTTGCTAGCCCAAACCCAAAACCCTCCTCCTTTCCCATTCTGGACTTGGGACCAGACAATGGCGGAGTTGATGGTAAGTATGTGTGGACTTAATGTGGTTAAACGTACCGTGCGGGACATTTCAAGTGTGAATTGGGACATATAAAGTGTTATATGGGACAACATGTCATATAAAAACATGTTAAGTTATATGGGACAGGTAGAATGTTATATGTGACATGTAATGTATTATATGGGGAAAAGTTTTACTATATAAGACATCTTATTTGTTATATGGGACATATCATGTGTTTTATGGGCTATGTAAATCGTTATATGATATATGTAAAGGGCTATATTGACCGTGTCGTGTATACAAACTGCCCAACAATCAATTACACGAGATTTTGTAAAGAGTTATACGATTGTTAGAGCGATTATGCAGTGATTTACCAGTATCCGCCCCCCCCCCTCAAAAATTTTAGCCCCCCCCCCCCCTCCCCGAAAATTTAAGCTCCCTCTCTCAGAGAAAAAAGTAATGAAGAAACACTGAATCAAACAAAGGGCTGTGTTTTGATCTGAAGTCTTCGTCAGATTAACACTAACAAACTCATCTTATGTGATTGACAGGACCGCTGGCGACAGACACATACAACTACCACGAAGTTCTAGACGACAACTACCATCTGTACTGGAACTTCAACTCTACACACATCTTGTTCAAGGCCCAGGTCAGGACTAATGGTAGGTTCTAATGGTAGGTTCTAATTGTAGGTTCTAATGGTAGGTTCTAATGGTAGGTTCTAATGGTAGGTTCTAATGGTAAGTTCTAATGGTAGGTTTTCTTGTCAAGACTATTACAAGGTTTTGTTTTCTTATTGTGAATCAAGTGTGATGGGACGGAGTTAAATTTAATGGTCGTCTTTTGGTAAAGCTAAACTCCAAAATACTTTCGCATATATTTTTAAAATTTAACAGTAGATGTTTTAGCTTGACAAGCAACCCCCCCCCTACACACACAGTCAAGAGTAAGTAACTTAACATTTTAAGAATCGACTACTAGAATCTAAATCCAACTTAATTGACTCGACTACTAGAATCTAAATCCAACTTAATTGACTCGACTATTAGAACCTAAATCCAACTTAATTGACTCGACTACTAGAATCTAAATCTAACTTAATTGACTCGACTACTAGAACCGAAATCTAACTTAATTGACTCGACTACTAGAACCTAAATCTAACTTAATCATGCCGTCCCAATGACTAAAAATAAACCACAGCATCTGATTGTATTTTCGCTTTCTCAGGCTACATTGGTTTCGGGATTTCCCCAAACGGCGCCATGACACACTCTGACGTCGTCATTGGCTGGGTGAAAGATGGACAATCCCATTTTGCTGTAAGTTTGCATGCATATATATATATATATATATATATATATATATATATATATATATATATATATATATATATATATATATATATATATATATATATATATATATATATAAGCGGCTAGGTAGTGTGTCAGTCCGTCATTGCTATGGATTTTGGAACCATAACAATAACCATCGTACCATGCATTGATTTTAAACTGCACCACATTACTTATTACAAATCAATAGACAAGGGTTTGTTTATATAACGACTAAAAATTTTTGTATAGTTGACAAAGCTTTTACTCTTTTGGATAACGTGAAGAAAATATTAAATAAACGTACATTGCTAAAATATATTATACCAATCAATGTCAAATACTATTTTTGTTTATATTCCTGGAAAAATTTATACATTTTAATTACAGTAGGGTCGAAAAAACTAATAAATTAAATTATTTTATAATTTAGCCAGGGGAGGTAATTATGAAATTCAATTCACTCTCAATAATTTAAGTTATTTTTTTTTATTACTATCGCATTGATTATTTTATGTTCAGGTTCATAGTTAAGACAGAAAAATGTTAAGATTATTTATATTATTTTCTAATTAGTTTATATATCTCAAAATCACTATTTGTTTTTGTTTTTTGTTTTTTTCCGTGTTATTAAAACGGATGGTGAAAGTAGACTTTTAGAGAATGCTGGAAAAGCTCTCTCTGGGCTCGGATGCCTAGGAAAGCGTTATGCTATTTTGCGTTTGTGTTTGCATTGCGTTTGTGTTTGTGTTGTGTTTGTATTGCGTTTGTGTTGTGTTTGTGTTTGTGGTGTGTTGTGTTTGTGTTGTGTTGTGTTAAGTTTGTGTTGTGTTTGTGTTGTGTTTGTGTTTGTGTTGTGTTTGTGTTGTGTTTGTGTTGTGTTTGTGTTGTGTTGTGTTTGTGTTGTGTTTGTGTTGTGTTTGTGTTGTGTTTGTGGTGTGTGTGTGTGTTGTTTTGTGTTATGTTTTGTGTGTGTTTCTGTTCTGTTGTATTGTTATGTGTTTATGTTGTATTTCTGTTGTGTTGTGTTTGTGCTGTGTTGTGCTGTGTTTGTGTTGTATTTGTGTTGTGTTTGTTTTGTGTTTGTGTTGGGTATACATCTAGTATATATATATATATATATATATATATATATATATATATATATATATATATATATATATATATATATATATATATATATATATATATATATATATGAGTGTGTATATATATATGAAGAATGGAAATAATACAGTTTATCTTTATGAATCTCTAACTTATGGCATCAATGTGAAACTAACATTTGTGTATTCGTGTCCCAGGACCGTCACGCCGAAGGAAACTTCTTGCCTGCTATTGATGCCATCCAGGACTGGAGTCTGGTCTCAGCTGCTGAATCTGGGGAATACACGACCTTGATCTTTGTCAGGAAACTCGTCACTTGTGACCCTGATGACCTGCCCATCACTGTACGTACTTGTGACACTTTTCTTTCACTATGAGTTTCTATGAATATGGTGCTGTAAATATGGGTTTTTGCCACTATGGGCTTTCTGCGAGTATGGGTTTTTGTAACTACAGGTTTTTATGAACAGGGTCTTACTGTAACTATGGGCTTATTGTGACTGTTGATAAACCGCTTCTAAGTGAAACGTATAATGATGAGCTTTCTGAGAATTAGGTTTTAAATTTTAGTTAAAGGTATATTATTTTTAAAAAAGAAATAGAGAGAAAACATTTATATATAATGTATGTATAACACGACTTCCACAGAACGGCACTACCCGGGTTATTTTTAGCTACAACCCGAACGACCCAGCCTCCGATACCACGGTCATGTACCACGGGTCGTCCAGACGAGGCGTCAAGTCCATTTTGATGCTGGACCCGCCTTCAAGCGAGGCCAACCAGAAACCACTGCCCGATGACGTTGTGACCTTTGACTTCATGAATAATAATGTTCGTAATTTATCAAGTCTTTAAACATGTGTTTTCAATTAAGTTCTTTGAGACTATACAGTTATCTCATTTTGAGTTTTGTATAGTTAGGATCGGGTTGAGTGTAACCCGTTACTAAAAGAATTTTAAATAATTAATTTTAATTATTAATAATTTCAGTTTACCGTACCAGCCAAGGACACCTACTACAGGTGTACGATTGTCAAATTACCTGACCTGGGTGGGAAACACCACATGTTCAAGGTAAGAACTTTTAATAGTTGTTGCCCTTGAATACGATTCTTCTCAATCATTGACCGCAGGAAGCTTTGACCAGGCAGTCAAGATAGAAGTCAAAGATGGACTCGCGTTGTTTAATGTATGAATGTTGTTTTACGTTGTGTGATATTTTATATAAAAATGTTCTTGACACTGTCCAGTACTTGTCTGATGTAAACATGTTCCCACTGTCCAGTACTTGTCTTATGTAAACATGTTGTTTCCACTGTCCAGTACTTGTCTTATGTAAACATGTTCCCACTGTCCAGTACTTGCCTCATGTCAACATGTTCCCACTGTCCAGTACTTGCCTGATGTTCCCACTGTCCAGTACTTGCCTGATGTTAACATGTTCCCACTGTCCAGTACTTGTCTGATGTTAACATGTTCCCACTGTCCAGTACTTGCCTGATGTAAACATGATGTTCCCACTGTCCAGTACTTGCCTGATGTTCCCACTGTCCAGTACTTGTCTGATGTCACCATGTTCCCACTGTCCAGTACTTGCCTGATGTTCCCACTGTCCAGTACTTGCCTGATGTCAACATGTTCCCACTGTCCACTACTTGCCTGATGTAAACATGTTCCCACTGTCCACCACTTGCCTGATGTAAACATGTTCCCACTGTCCACTACTTGCCTGATATAAACATGTTCCCACTGTCCAGTACTTGCCTGATGTAAACATGTTCCCACTGTCCACCACTTGCCTGATGTAAACATGTTCCCACTGTCCAGTACTTGCCTGATGTAAACATGTTCCCACTGTCCAGTACTTGCCTGATGTTCCCACTGTCCAGTACTTGTCTAATGTCAACATGTTCCCACTGTCCACTACTTGCCTGATGTTCCCACTGTCCAGTACTTGCCTCATGTAAACATGTTCCCACTGTCCAGTACTTGCCTCATGTAAACATGTTCCCACTGTCCAGTACTTGCCTCATGTCAACATGTTCCCACTGTCCACTACTTGCCTGATGTTCCCACTGTCCACTACTTGCCTGATGTGAACATGTTGCTTACAGTACGAGCCCATCATCCAGGCCGGCCACGAGCAGCTTGTCCACCACATCCTGGTCTACTACTGCCCGGGGAAGCTGGACGACAAGTTTCTGGACGTCTCCTACATGTGCTATGACGAGACCCCAGACAGGGAGCTGGACAAATGCGAGCCGGTCATGATCTCATGGGCAGTGGGGGGTCGGGTAAGTCATGATCTCATGGACAGTGGGGGGTCGGGTAAGTCATGATCTCATGGACAGTGGGGGTGGGGGGTCGGGTAAGTCATGATCTCATGGACAGTGGGGGGTCGGGTAAGTCATGATCTCGTGGGCTGTGGGGGGTTGGGTAAGTCATGGGCTGTGGGGGGTCGGGTAAGTCATGGGATGTGGGGGATGGGGGGGGGGGGTCGAGTAAGTCGTGATCTCATGGGCAGTGAGGGGGGGGGGGTCGGGTAAGCCATAATCGCATGTGTTGTAGGGGTTGGATTAGTCATGATGTCATGGACAGTAGGGGTTCGGGTAAGAAATGATCTCATGGGCCGTGGGGGGGGGGTCGGGTAAATCATGATCTCATGGGCAATATGGAGGGGATAAGTCATTCATTGGCTGGGGGATGGGGATGTGGTAGTGTAAGTTATAGACCGTCGGGGGTCGGGTAAGTCACGATCTCATGGGCTGTGGGGGGGGGGTCGGGTAAGTCATTCACAGGAAGTTGATGCTGTCTTTCAACATAACACCTCACTCTACATTCTTCTTCTGATAAGATTAGTGCACATTAGGGAATAGTGCTGACCACACTATCCATTCCGATGCCTAGGCCACAAATATAGATGCACTCTAATTTACCTGCCCCGTGGGCCGTCAGGGTCGACCGTGAACCTAATTTTTTTACTCTAATTCCCCAGACTTTCAACTTCCCAGACAATGTAGGTTACTCTCTTGGTGCACCCAATGATCCCGTCTATTTCAGACTCGAAACTCACTACAACAACCCGGATATTAGATCAGGTCAGTTGTTTTGCCTTGTTATAAAATTTAAATAAATAATAAGAAAAATAAAACGAAATTAACATACCGTTTGATAAAAAGTAAAGAATAATTATTTTTACTTTCTCGTATATACGAAGTATAGAGAAAGTCTTGTAATCGTGAAAAAAAAATCGAGATTTTTACAAATCTCGACGTTTTACACCTCACTGATACGGAAAAAACATAATTTTGCAATCTTGTCCGTATGTCTGTGTGTCTGTCTGTGTGTGTGTGTCTGTCTGTGTGTAAACACGATAACTTGAGTACCGTTACAGCTAGGTTGATGAAATTTCATATAGTAGTATTTTATAAAAATCGTAGATCCTGATCAACTTTTGAGCGATTTCCGATAACCGGAAGTGGTACTTTTTCTACTTTGAATTTTTAAAAAGCCTATAACTTGAGAACTATTTCAGATAGATAAATGAAATTCCACTTGTAAGTAAAAGATCTAATTCTCTACCTTCTATCAAATTTTGAGTAATTTCCGTTGACCGAAAGTACTAATTTACGCTATTTCCGATTTCTCAAAAAAAAAAGCACGTAAATTTATAGAGTACTAATAATATTGCATACTATTATGCACATGTTGTTTTGTCGTTCTCGCTTGGTACGCAATTCTTTTTTCTATGAGATTCTATTCTATTTTTAAAAGTTTAAGTAATTAAAAATCATGTATATATTCCACGTTGTATAAGACTATTCGAGAAAGTTTAGGGGAGATCACACCCGGTTTATTTTAAACTATCTATATATATATAATTCTCTTCTGGGAGACGCTAGAAAACAAGCTGTAAACGCGCTCCCTACCACCCCCACCCATACATGGTCTGGTGAGCTGTGGTTCACTCTAAATGTTTACAAACAGAGCCGGGTTTAATGACGACTATTAGGGGCAGATAATTTAGTTTGAAACGATTTTAAACGTAGGGGGGGGGGTAACTAAGTTGAGTTTACTTTACAGGAGGGGGGGGGGGGGGGTTATCGTCCTTAACGAGCTCTTTATAGTGTTTTAAAGAAATATTTTCAGTGGCAGCGTTGGTAGTGTCGAATTCACAAATTATGAATAACTGAAAAGTAGAAAAAACAACAACTAAATAGCGGCGTATGATATGCCGCGGGTCGGCTCGTGAAGCAATAATAGGGCTTGTAAGTCTAAATGAATTTAGGTGTTTTTTTTCTTGATTGAACAACACAAACATTTATATTGAACAAAATATATGATCTTCAATGAATTTAATAGCTATTTAAGTTAGGTTTTAACAGATTAATAGATCTATAGTAAACAAAATATTATGTGATCGACTTCTTTAATACGGTATTGACATTTTGTGACTCTCAGACTTTGTGGACAACTCTGGAATAAGGATCTACTTGACGAAACAGCTGAGGCAGTACGATGCTGGACAGATAATGACAGGGTACACCGTTGACCCTTACCTGCTGATCCCACCTTATGAAAAAAGTTTCATCACCTCTGGGTACTGTTCCACCGAATGTTTAGGAAAGGTATATCACAGTTTATACATCCACAACGTTTGTGTTAAATTATTTCCACTACATGATTTTTACGACTTGTACAATCTTCGATTATAAAACTTTTATTGAAAATGCTCCCAACTTGGTTTCGATCCCAGGGTGTTGGAGATACAGAGATAAAAGTCTTCGCCAACTTCCTACACGCTCACCTTCTGGGGAGGAAAATACGAACACGTCACTTCCGGAATGGCGTGGAGTTACCTACCATCATGGAAGACAACAGCTACGATTTTAACTATCAAGAGACCCGGATGTTGAAGGAGGAGCGAGTGATTAAGAAAGTAATGCGTCGTTTAATCATAATCAGTCCACAGAAATAATCATTCATTATGTATAATCACACCACAGCCATTCATGTCGAAGTATTAATCCACTACAATTCGCTGTCAATGAAACAGCTCCCTTCCTCGCTCTAAAATATTTAAAATATTGTACACTACCAGTTATCTCCCTTCGAGAATGTCCTACAGTAATGTCCCTTTACTCCACTAGGGCGACTTGCTACTAGTCGAGTGCGACTATGACTCTTCTGATCGGACTGCCGTCACTTTTGTAAGTAGTGTGTAGTGCGCAATTGTCCAGTAACATTACAGTTAGTAGGATGTAGTGGGCAGTTGTCCAGTAACATCACAATAAGTAATTTGTAGAAGACAGTAGCCACTTGAAATTACAATAAGAAATTTTTGCAATCTGTTTCACCTTTGAAAACTAAAGTAAGGAACTAATTGCAGTCTAGTACTTCAATGACACCTACTGTGTAAGGGCGTCCATAAAGCACGTCACGCTTGTATTGATAAATATTTAGACTTGCCTAACCATGTGTTACGAGGTGGCTGTAACATTTGACAATTTAAGAAGTTAGACTAGAAAGAAGCTCAAGTTATTTCTGTCGTTTCGAAGATATTAAAGACATAACTAAATTATAACAAAATTTTGATAGTTAAATTTCAGTGTCATCAGAGTTCAAATACTATTCTAAAACGATATATTTACTTTAAAAAACGAAACTTGTAATTTAAAGAAGATGGGTATGCCGAGGTGTCAGATTTTGTGGCGATGTGTGAAATGTGTGTTGACCATTAAAACTAACTGTAGTTTTCTTTTGTATGAAAAAAATCCCGTGAGCAGCAAGTTGTCTACTGTGAAGTTTAATCATATTTTATCTACACGTTGTAGGGTGGTTTGAAGACGACATATGAGATGTGTTTATCTTTCTTGATGTACTATCCCAAGGTTCCCATTTCAAGGTGCTTAACCAGGTACAACAATAAGTCACCTATGGTTTATATATATATATATATATATATATATATATATATATATATATATATATATATATATATATATATATATATATATATATATATATATATATATATATATATTATGCATGCTTGTGCATATGTGCATTTTTTTAAATGTTTGACATGATCTATTTGATTTATAAAACATTTAAGATGTGTATAATGTTGTAATGTTCTGTTGATCTAATGTTAAATATTTCACCAATGTTGTGTATGTGTCACCAAACCTTGTACTGTTGTATGTGTCACCAAACCTTGTACTGTTGTATGTCACTAAACCTTGTACTGTTGTATGTGTCACCAAACCTTGTACTGTTGTATGTCACTAAACCTTGTACTGTTGTATGTGTCACCAAACCTTGTACTGTTGTATGTGTCACTAAGCCTTCTACTGTTGTATGTCACTAAACCTTGTACTGTTGTATGTGACACTAAACCTTGTTCTGTTTTTTATGTCACTAAACCTTGTACTGTTGTATGTCACTAAACATTGCACTGCTGTATGTGTCACTAAACGTTGAACTTCTCTTCAGAACTGACTTCATGGCACCCTTCAATGATGAGAACTACTTCAATCAGATCAACCAAATGGACTGGACTAACGCTACTGTAAGGTCAGAGTTCAAGCGATTGACTGACAGCTTTGGTATGCTTGACACCTGTTTGTTGGAGTTTGCTGGACAAAGCAATGTAATTATATTTTACTTCACTTTGCGCTTTTTTGGACATAAAAACATGTTATTTTGTAAATGTAGCACTTGTGGTATAGCGATATGTATTCTATAAAGTAAAGAGTAACTTTAAAAAGATTATTTTATCTGATAATCAGTATCAGGATTTCTAGATTTTTTTATGTAGGTACATTGAGCCTTTAAATTGTTTTGGGAAGGTGGGATATATATATATATATATATATATATATATATATATATATATATATATATATATATATATATATATATATATTAACATGAAAGTAACTTTATATGCATGAATGTACAGAAACACTATGAAATACTTTTCTTAACTTTTCTTTCAGTACACTTGGAACAAAGCCCCACGACCATCCGTTACTCAAGAATTTCAGCCACCCAACCCGTGCGCGATCTAATCCTGGCTGCACCGGAGCTTGATCTTCTTGACAAACATATTGTTATTTCACAATCCATTTTTTATAAAGTTTTTACGTCTTGGTTCTTTATCATTTTAAACATATATATTTTATAATCTGCATTTTTTATCTCATTTTATATTTGGGAGTTTGACCACAATAAACTACTTTTAAAAAATATATTCTTACACTCTTCATTGTTGATGTGCACACTGTTAAATATATTAACTCTTTTGACAGCTTTAAAATTACTTGAATCATAATATAATTTTACGCTAATACACTCTACTCTAATACAATTTACCTTAATACAACCCTACCGCAATACAACCGTACCCTAATACAACTACACCCTAATACAACTATACCATAATAAAAATACACCCTAAAAATACACCCTAATACAACTATCCTAATACAGCAATACACTAAGACAACATTACGCGAATAGAACACTGCCCTTATACAACAGCACCATAAAACAACACTACCCCAATACAACATAATCAGTAATAAATACAGTAAATTGTTTTACAAATAGTTTGATAATTTGGCTAATTTGTTGCCAAATGTGTTTACTTAAAATTTAATTTCGTTATTTGTATTCTAAACACTAAATAATTAACTGACAAGAGAACTTTAAATCAACAGCTTAATTATTGCATCATTAATTAAATATGCACATACATCACAACATAACAAAAGCTGAAGCAGTGAATTTAAAAAAAACGAGACAGTTATCTGAATACAATTTACATGAACATTTCGTTTGGAATGTCGATACCAATAACAGGAAACCAAGTTCTGATTAATTGAACATAAAACAGAGAAAAACATAAAGCAAGTCCAAACAAAAAAGAAAAATAGATTGTACTTTTGAAACAGACACAAGAGCAAATTGTTCCGATTCTATATACACAGGTTCTAAAACAAAACTTCATTTGTTAATATAATTTTTAATACGTTAATTTCATTGAGTAATAGGTATAATAAACCGGGAGTGATCTCCCCTAAACTTTCTCGAATATTCTTATATAAAATAACAGGGGGTGGGAACTCGGGCTATAGACATGATTTTTAATCTATTTTAAATACTTAAAGTTTTAAAAATAGAATAAAATCTCGTAGACAAAAGAATTGCACACAAAGTAAACGCAAATTAAAAAAGTGCATAATAGTGCGCAATATTATTAGTACTTTATAAATTTACACGCGTTTTTTGAGAAATCGGAAATAGCGTAAATTAGTACTTCCGGTCAACGGAAATTACTCAAAATTTGAAAGAAGGTAGAAAATTAGATCTTTTACTTACATGTGAAATTTCATTTATCTATCTGAAATAGTACTCAAGTTATAGGCTTTTGAAAAATTCAAAGTAGAAAAAGTAACACTTCCGGTTATCGGAAATCGCTCAAAAGTTGATGCATATCTACAATTTTGATAAAATACTTATATATGAAATTTCATCAACCTAGCTGTAACGGTACTCAAGTTATCGTGTTTACACACACACACAGACAGACACACAGACAGACACACAGACATACGGACAAGATTGCAATATTATGTTTTTCCGTATCAGTGAGATGTAAATCGTCGAGATTTGTAAAAATGTCGATTTTTTTTGCACGATTACATGACTTTCTCTATACTTCGTATAATCGAGAAAGTAAAAATGATATGTATATTTTATAATGCTGATCAAATATATTGAAAAAAAATTTCATGACGATAAAATTGTGTGCATTCTTATTACAAAGAGATAGACACAAAGGTAAACCGTAAAAATAAATTACCCTTGTTTGTCTGCTGTCATGTTCAATCCTTACCGGTCTTGTAAATCCACCACAAAAAATGCCATAATCCATTATGTGCCATTGATCCATTAATCACATTTTGAGTAAATGCAGTTAAACAATAAATCACGAGCTTAATCCCAAAGATCAAATACTTTGAAATGTTTTCCTAATTTGAATAAATTTAAACAAAACACTATATGCGGGAGTAAATCTTATATTTAATATTTTGATGTTAAATTAAAAATTAACTAACCCTAGTCTCAATGAAGAATAAAACAAGTTGATTGTTCTTGACAAAAATAGGCTCTTTTACTTTAAAATTGTATTTAATTAAATGGAGAGAATTATTTGATTGGAAATTTTAGATTCTAGTAATAGAAAAACTATTTCGGACTAATCAAACACATAAAAAAATGTTCGATTCCAAATCAATAGAAAAAAAAAGAAAATTATTTGCAAGAATGAAATTGTTTCTAATTTATGCAAACAGATACTCTGAAATAAAAAAGCTTGTGTGAATTAAATAAGTTTTGCTCTGCTGTGCTAGACTCTTCTGTCAGTGACGACTTTTTAGTATAACAAAAGCTAACATTTTTGTAACACGTTAGTGGCCTGTGGTGTGCAGAGTTATAAAATCTAAAGTAGCAAACACTACATATCTCTTCTGATCCAGGGACAGAACTTTATTTATAAAAAAAATGTTTACACTATTAAATACTCATTGGTGGTCTAGAATAAAATTAAAAGCAAAAAAAAAAAAAATGGTCGCATAACTCACAGAGCTAAAATGTAAAAATGTTTCCCGTAAAATTTAATAACTATTAAGTACATTTATAACTTGTACGGAAAAAATGTAAAAATTATGTTAGGCGTAATATGCAATAAATATATAGTACAGTTATACCTTGTACGACTAAACAGTGGCGGAACTAGAAATCAAAGGCTCCCCCGCAAAGAAAAAACTAGGGCCCCCTATATATATATATATATATATATTTATATATATATATATATATATATATATATATATATATATATATATATATATATATATATATATATATACAAAATCTATATCCTGAGTGAGTAATTTAGTCTACTTCATTCCAATATATAACCATTCTGAGTGAACAAAACAGAAAAATTTAGTCCACACTCAGTTCGAGTTAGAAAAGTATCATCACCATCATGCTGGTCAAAAATATATAAAGACGTTAGCTTGACTCGTGAATGGTTTCTCGCGTTATGTTTATTTTTTTTTTCATTTTTGGCTTTTATAATATCAATTTTGAAAACATTGATTTTTATAGCCATACTATTGTATAGTACGTCTTATTTAAATAACAATTCAGAGAATCAATTGCTTTTTAATATACATAGTACAAAACTATTTAAATGAGCTTCGTGGGCATCCCTATTTTAAAGAAGGGCAGTAAGGCTTGGAAGTAGTGTGAATGTTTACCTACCTTTCAAACTATAGCTCTGGTAGATTTTAAAATATTTTTCTACTCAACAATCTCTGCTATAGTAGACCTGTTTTTTTTTTTACAAAACCACTTTCAAGATGCATGAAAAACATAATTTTTGAAAAAAAAAATCATTGTTTTTTGGTCGGAACTGGGCCCCTAAACGTCCTGGCCCCCCCGCATTGCGGGGTCTGGCGGTATGGTAGTTCCGCCCCTGCGACTAAACAAAAATACTGCGTTTAAAACTATTGATGTATTAACAAAATGTCTAAGCAGAAGCTGTTATTTACAGTGATGAAAAAGCTTATACTAAATCAATAAATTAAGTGAGAAACATTAAGTGTAATTGAGACCGCGACAAACAGCAGTTTTACCAGGCACAGATCACATTAACACAACTTAAGAGCGGGTTAGAGGAAGTTGAAGCAACTTTTCAAGGGCTAACACAATAACGAAATGAAAATGTGTTTGCCCTTTGTTTAAAAGCTGCTTCGTGTTCTCAAGCTAGACGCAAGCTAAATTTTGCATGTAAGTCACATTCGTGAATTTAATCAATTTAATAGAAAATTTTCAGAAAAACTTTGTCAAAATATTTTTTATGGATTTGTGTGTACTGAAATTGAAATTGAAAGTATATTTATCAATTTCTTCTGAATCCGTTGTTGAGTTTTTTTTTTTAGAAAATAGGCATTTAAATTCAAATTTTAATATGCTCTAAAACAGCGGTTCGTGGCTTAAGATTGGGAACAAAAATAAATTTTCTATCCATTCTAAATTACATGAATTCCTATACAATTGAAGTAAATCTAATTTTAATTAATTCTTTACTTGTACATGTTGCAGATAAAATAAAAGTCTGACCTCTAGCGTCTTAACACGTTTTCTTTTACTGTTCGCAGTGGTACTTTGAGTTTTCCCCATTAAAATCGGTCAAGAAGATAAAACCAGGTTTAGAAATGATAGGGTGGCAACCTAGTTTTTTTTTTGGAAAAAGGGCGAGGATGATGGGGGTGGGGGATAGTGGGGCTGGATATGGTGCTAAAACCAAATATCATTTTATATGGCTAGGTCCTATACTGCTGTTGGAATCATGTGTACAATTGATGTAAGTTGTGGTCAGACAGGACAAAAATAACAATCAGTAGTTGACGGACAATTTTTATATCAAAATATATAAACATGCGTGGTTGGGCGGTAGAGCACACGAATGGTAGCCCGAATATCTGGAGTCGGATTTCGGGTAAGAGTCAATACAGCGTCCATGAGTCCACCCAGCTCTGATAAATATCTGAGTTACTTTATGAAAAGTAAAGGCGGATGGGCATATAAATGACCACACTATCGCTATACATGCCGAGGTCAAAGAAACAGATGAACTCTACTTCTTCTGCCCTATGCTCCTACGGGTAAAAAATTGGGAACGCATTTGATTAGACAAAAAATCCCGTTTTAAAAAGAATTAAAGTCATATTATTAATCTCATAATTAGACCAAGATCTAGAGGTTACTTGTGGTGATTTCAACATAAAAAGTAGAACATCTAGATACGATAAAACATCTAGGTACGATTTCGCAATTTCGAACTTGAAAGTTCATGTGACCAGCAGCAGAAAAGCCAACAAAAAATAATCTTGGTGACTAAAGACTTGATGATCAGTACAAAAGGGCCACAACCAATGTTGTTGAGTTGATATCATCGCCACATGAATCACTGATAACGGTTCTTGTTGCGTGGTGCAAGGGTGATAATCTCAGCTCAATGGGGACTTTACCTACAATCAAAATGGAGATTGGTAAATTTTTTGTCTGTATTTGGAGAGGGTGGGGATTGGGGGTGGGGGTGATGGACTTTAGGTATAGGTAGTGACTAATGCAAATATAATGAAAGTATTTTTAGCAAAAAATGG